TGACAAAGTTGTTAAAAAGTGGAGGGATTGGTACGAGGATTACAAGAAGAAAACTAAAAACACTGACTTCTTCACTAAGAAGAACAGAGACAGGCTTAAGGCAGAACGAGATGCTGAAGGCGGCTGGCCTGGGGCACTTCAGTGGTTAGGTATACTATCTTTGTACCTGTATTAATATTAGAAAGCTGAACAGGTTAGGTCTCCTCTAAAATAGAAGATCTCCATAATCGCGAGATAACATTCCGCGAAGCCGAAATTTACCCTCTGTCTCTTTCTAGAGGCCGATGTGCAATGTTTATCACCAGTAGTTTTGGCGTTATTTGGTCACCTCTTTTAATAATTATTTTTATGTTTTCACTTGCTACACAGATCTTGGCGAAGGTCTCGGTGGAACTCCAGTCCCACCGTGGGCGTACGTTCTGAAAAACTCCGGCTTACCTCAGGCTTGTATGCAACCTATTCAAAGGGAAAACAAATGTTTCGACCCGTCCATGAATAATGTAAAAAAAACCGGGTTAGTTTTGCTTTTATATAAATTCAATAATCATACATGATGACATACATGACACCTCCTGACTCCTGAAGCACGAAAGTATTAACCTGCTTCATGGTACTAACAAACGACTAGCTACTACCCAGCCGTCGCGAAGGACACTCCGGGCGTCGGGGATCGCGAGACGATCTCACGCACGTAAGCACGGGCCTGTGAATGGCGAGCATGGGCAGCTCGCCGCCTAACTAGAACCATACCCGAACGTACGGCGCGTCGCGATCCGCGCGCCTCAAAGAGCCATCCACCACGGGCTGGTGCCCAATAGGGCTAATACCGATACATACCCGCGGAGAATGTAAAAGGTTACCGGGGCTCCGGTTTGAAGTGCAGGAGTAGGAACGGGGTGGTTTTTAGTCAGTAAGAGACCGAAACTGCCTTCTATCGAAGTTATTCGATGATTTACCCCCTTAGAATGAAAAATAGATACTCCCGCGCAATTTCATTCGTTCTGCTTGGTTCCTTTTGATCGTAGTATTCGTATAGTGTTTGTTTTCTATACCTATATATCTATACTAATCTATACTATCTATACTAATATTATAAAGAGGAAAGATTTGTATTTTTGTATGTTTGTAATGAATAAACTCAAAAACTACTGAACCGATTGCAATAATTTTTTCACCATTCGAAAGCTGCATTATTCAGAAGTAACATAGGCTATATAATATCACGCTAGGTCCTATAGTTGTGGAGCAGTAACCAAAAATGTTTTAAAAACGGGGGAAAAGTATCGTTTCTGAGGCCTTCCGTGGCGTGCGCTGAGCATATAGTTAAAGTTATACAAAAATGTTCTATAGATGAATTGTTTATCTTAACATTATTTTAAAAAAAAGTCCGCGAGAGCATATGTCTACCTTTTATAGTTTACCCATAACAATCGTTTTAATGAATGGTTCAATCCTTATAAAAGTTTGCTCTAGATAACTTTTGAATTGTTCAATCGGTTACCTTAAGACGCGACATCGACAACGGAGGGCAGGTCGCTAAAAAAAAACTGAGAATACATATAAAAAAAACGTAAAACTATGTAAAAAATCTTAAGTCCCCCCGTGCGAAGCCGGGACGGGCCGCTAGTTATATATATATATAATAAAATCGTAGAAAAGTCAAAACTGTAGGACCTACATTGAATATTTTTTTAAAAAGAATACTTGAGGCGTGATCTACAATCGATACCGAAGCCAAAAATTTGGTTTTTAGAATTTTTATCTGTTTGTATGTCCGGGATAATCTCCAAAAGGACTACATGAATTTACTTAAAATTTTGCGTGAATATTACTAACAGGTTGGGTGAACATATAGGCTACATATTATCACGCTATCATATACGGGGGAGGAGCTGTGAATCATAATTCCACTCGAACGAAGTCGCGGGCAATAGCTAGTAGGCTATAATATTTTGTTATGGGCTTGTGGCAAAGAATTCTTACCTATTAGTGGGTCGGTAAATTTGATAATTTACATGTACTGACGTACATATTACATGAGACTCATAACATAAATAGTGAAAAGTGGGTGATACATTGTACACACGGCGACACATCAATCTATACAGACACAGTTACAGTACCAAACGTAAATACATACTTATAAATTTGTGGAATGTTAGGTTGCCGCAGTGGACTTTATACTGTAGCCTGTAACTGTAGGGCCGAAGGTTGAATTTAACTGGAACAGATATTATAAATGTGTAAATATGTGAGTTTGTGTGTATTTTTGTTACTCATTCACATCAAAACGGCTGAAGGGATGAAAATTGGAAGAGAGGTAGATTATGGTTTGGAGTAACACATAGGCTTTTTACCCCGGGGGACGCGGGCGAAGCCGCTGGCAGGAGCTAGTCATGAATAATTTCTGTGACTTGTAGCACTTTGTTAGAAAGGCTGTTATATATATTTATTAAATTTTCAGCTATGATCGTCCCACTGCAGGGCAAAGGACTCCCGATTCTCCTTCCAATCCTCTCTATGTAAAGGTTTTTGCGGTCAATCCTTGTCATAGATTTCTAATTCGTCCCGCAACCTCCTTTTCGGCCTGCCGCAACGTCTACTGACGTCGATATTAATGAAAGGATATTAGCAAAATATATATTTTTTTAATAAAACCAAGTACAAAAAATTCATTACGATTTTCCTGCACTAAAAACCTATTTATTAGAATGACTGGACCAATATTCACTTTTTAATGAATTTCTTCTGTTATTTTTAGGTTTGGGTATCATCCATATAGAGGAACTTGTGTTTTCTACGAAAGTTACGCATGTCAATACAATATTAATTTTTTCCACAGCAAGGAATACTGTGACGAATATTGTTCTTACGCTAGGCCAGCATCATTCTGTGATATGGCCAACAATGTCCCTATTGACTATACTTACATTTATGACCAGTAATAAAAATTACATGTACTCATGTCTGTTTTTATTTACCCATTTTAATGTTAGGCTACCGATTGGCGCGGTGGTTGGGCAGCTGGCTGACTTAGATTTATAAAAAAACAATATGTATTTAGGTATGTACAGATATACTAACATAACTATGGTTACGTGTGTGTAAAGTGGAATCTTGCAACTAAAGAACAATGCGAACCCTATGTAGATAAAATATCGAGTCTGGGCCCACCCCCAAGTCAATAGCAACATAATCACATGTTGCTATTGAGAGCGTATCAACGCCACTGCATAGAGCTTCTTAAAAATGGAACAATAGTTGCTAATACACCTATGGTTAAATGTTAGTACCTATGTCCTGAAGTCATTTCAATTTGAAGTATTATTTATAATTTTAGGATTTTTATATTATTATATTTTTAGATGTCCTTTCTACCTATTATTAGAACCATGTTTGATACCAGAATTATCAATTATTTTACAATTAAGTGAGTTAGGAGTATAACTTGCCACTATGCTTGGCGTTTGTGGACTATGAAAAAGCCTTTGATTCGATCGAGACCTGGGCGGTGCTGCAGTCTCTCCAGCGATGCCATATTGACTACAGATATATCGAGGTGCTAAAGTGTTTGTATAGAAACGCCACCATGCGCATCCGACTCCAGGAAGATAGCACGGAACCAATCCAATTGCAGAAAGGCGTGAGACAGGGAGACGTGATTTCTCCGAAACTGTTCACCAACGCATTGGAGGACGTTTTCAAGCTTTTAAACTGGAGTGGACTGGGCATCAATATCAATGGCGAATACATCACACACCTCCGCTTCGCCGATGATGTAGTCATCATGGCGGAGTCGCTGGAGGATTTAAACACCATGCTCAGCGACCTCGATATCGTCTCCCAACAGGTGGGTCTTAAAATGAACATGGACAAGACCAAAATCATGTCAAACGTCCATGTTCCACCTGTACCGGTCATCGTTGGGAACGATATCCTCGAAGTTGTAGACCACTACACATACTTAGGGCAGATTATACAGCTAGGTAGGTCCAATTTCGACAAAGAGGTCGTCCGAAGAATCCAACTTGGATGGGCAGCGTTCGGAAAGTTACGCGAAATCTTCTCATCGAAAATCCCTCAGTGCCTAAAGACCAGGATGTTCAACCAGTGTGTGTTGCCGGTGATGACGTATGGTACCGAGACGTGGTCCCTGACCTCTGGCCTTCTGGAGAAGCTCAGAGTCGCTCAGCGTGCGATGGAGAGAGCTATGCTCGGGTTTCTTTGCGCGACAAAGTCCGAAATATGGAGATTCGCCAAAGAACAAGAGTTACCGACATAGCTCGCAAAATCTGCAGACTGAAGTGGCAATGGGCAGGCCACGTCGCTCGAAGGACTGACGGCAGATGGGCCAGGAAAGTCCTTGAATGGAGACCACGGACCGGAAGACGAAGCGTGGGCAGGCCTCCCGCTAGGTGGACCGACGACATCGCCAGAGTTGCGGGGAGCCAGTGGATGCGGGTGGCGAGTTGTCGTTCGACGTGGAGGGCTAAGGGGGAGGCCTTTGTCCAGCAGTGGACGTCTTCCGGCTGTTGATGATGATGATGAGTTAGTAGTTACGATCATAACTCTGAAACCACTGACGTTGACCCTTACCGCTGTATGTATAGGTACCCTTTGCATAAGAATAAAATCACTTAAATCAAACCAGTGGTTAATCATTTATTGTTGTTTTTGTAGTTCAATCGGGATGTTTTTCACTAAAACCAAAAATGTTGAATGAGATATTCACTTTCGGACTTAAGGGTTATTTTTGTTGGAAATTAGTTGTATTATCACCTTCCGATAGGAATACGTCGAGTTACAGGTCACCCTACATAGAAACGTTTATTTCATAGGTGTTTCCTCCTTTGGTATTGAAGGTGTCCATGATCACATATCCATGATCACGCTGATCGCTTACCATCAGGTTATCCATCTACTCATTTGCCTCCTATTCCATTAAAAAAAAATACATTTTTGTCTGTTACTAACTATGACACAAATAACAGTGACATTAAGTTCCGTACGTCATGTTATTGTCAGCTGTCAATTCGTTGTGTACAGTCAGCCAAACACTACAGCACTGTTGAACAGGCATTTACAAATTACAATAATTTTCAGTTGTAATACGGAAATGTAATATTTATTTGGATTCGAATATATATGAAGCCGTTAAATAGTTATACGTAATTTGAAACTGTTGGCGTAACACAATGTTCATTCTTTTCGAACAACGATACATTTAAATAATAATCGCCTCCGTTGAAATTGTAGGTGTATACAATTAACAATACATTGTGATGTTTGTGAAAAATCTAAATAAAATTAGTGTTTAAGTGTGGTGCAGTAGTTTATTCCTTATGAAATAGATATTTCGTGATATTAGTGATAATGAATACGCGAGTGTTGTCCGTGTTGATGTGGAAACATGCGATGGTTAGGAAACGAAGGTTTATCCAGACAGCTGTGGAATTTGCGTCACCTCTCATGTTTTTCTTATTATTATTTGCTTTCAAAAATCAACTAATACGAAAGCCTTCTGCAGAACAAAGAGACCCAGTGGCCAACACGGTGAGTTAGAATTTATGCTAGCCTAATGAAACTAAATTTTATATGCAAGATTACTTCCAATGAAATCCTGCATAATACAACTAAAAAGCGAAGCTTATTAGATGATGCACACTAAAACCTTACTTTTCGAAAACTTGACATTTAAATCTAAAAAGTGTATTTTACATTTACTAATTTGTATTATTTTTTAATTAATGATCTGTTTCTTAATTTAATTTTAAAAGAATTACCTTCCTTACCTGACAAATTATATACTTAGCTGTCTATGGTTTTGTTTCTTATCTCATCTTACATTTGTAAAATAGTTTATTAATGACTACCTCATTAGCCGAGTGGTCGCAAGTGTGACTACCGGGCAAGGGGTCTCAGGTTCGATTCCTGGGTCAAGCAAAGTATTAATGGATTTTTAAAAATAAAACTCTCAGTAGTAGGACAGAGTCTGGAAATAAGTTCACCATAAATAATGAAAAGTGGGTTACATTGTACAGTAACATTAAATGCTGTAAAATGCACCTCTAGCTACCCCTTCGGGGATAAAAGGTGTAATGTTTTATTATTTTTAATAACTGCATATGAATTGTAGTAAGTAATTACAATTGTCATAGTCAAAAACTATACAGCTGAAGAGTTTATTTGTTTGAATGTGCTTGTCTCTGGAACTACTGGTGCCAATTGATTAATTCTGTTCAACCGATTTAAAAAAAAAGAGGCAGTTCCCAATTCGACTGTGTTTATGTTTGTTTTTTTTTTGTTTTTTTTTTTTTGTTTTTAAGAGATTGTTAGATAGTCCATTTATTGGGAAAGGTTATAGGCTATTAAACATCACAATAGAAGCTAAGCAGCTGGTGAAATTGCATGGAAGTAGTTAGCTAGTTTTAAATACAGCAGTCTCCAATCTTGAATATGTAAACTACAGACCTATTGCAATACTGTCTGTTATTGATAAAATCACAGAAAAAATTATTGTAGGTCAGATTAGCGGGTTCTTAGAACAACATAAAATAATATGTGACACACAACATGGTTTCCGCAGAGGACGAAACACTGTTTCTGCTTTGTTAGGCTTTTCAGATTACATAAATAAGTCGCTAGACTCTGGGAAACAGGTTATAGCTCTTTTTATCGATTACAAAAAGGCATTTGACACATTAGACCATGACATATTACTACAGGCAATGGATGATTGTGGAATACGCGGGCCCACAAATGAATGGTTTAAAGACTATCTAACCAATAGGAAAATAAGTACAATGATAGCTGGTAAGACAGGGAAAGAGGCGGATGTCGACTTAGGTGTGCCGACTGGATCTGTATTCGGGCCAGTAGGATATATAATGCATGTGAATAGTGTGTCAAATGTCATCGAAAAATGTAAGGGGTTCATGTACGCTGATGATATGTGCCTTATTTATGCATCCAAAAATATAATGGAAGCCCAAAAATTTATACAGGACGATTTTGAAAATATTAGCAAATGGGCACACGATAACGGAATTATCTTGAACACAACAAAAACAAAAGTTATGCATATACACTCCCCGTACAATCATATTGCTAAATCAGTAGATAAGGAACATATCACAGTAATAGGACACACATATGAATGTCTACATAGAAATAAACATAACTGCAGTTGTAATAAATTAGACTATGTACACAAATTCAAATACCTAGGCCTAACAATAGATACAAATTTCAACTGGAAATTGCATGTTAACGACATTTGTAATAGACTAAGATCTGTATTAAGTAAGTTGTATCAATTAAAAATGTACTGAACAAAAAGACTCTCAGATTAGTTTACTTTGCACTTGCAGACTCGCTAATAAGTTATGGACTACTTGTGTATGGTCGAACATTCATATCATATATAAAAGATATTAAAGACATACAAATAAGACTGATAAAGTTCCTAGTAAGTAAAAATGTTAAAGATAGTTGCAAGAAAGAGTATGATAAGTTATTTCCTATTTGTAAAATAATACCCATAGATAAAAAAGTAGATTATTTAGTTGGTTTGCAATATTATTATAGTGACGAGTTTAAAATTAATGTAAAGAACAAGTACAACACACGTAGGGTTAGAGAGAATAAACTAATATTACCAGAAATAAAAAACTATTATGGCAAAAGAACATCTGAATACTTAGTTCCTAATGTATTTAATAGAATAGATTTACTGAGAGAAGAAGGAAAAAAGTTTACGAAAGGATCTCTAAAGTTAAAATTAAAAAGATTTATGTTAGAGTATTAAGAGTAATAAGAAATAACATTGTTATGTCTTGTTTGTTTTTTATTGTTATTTTCATAAAGATTTGTTTGTTTTTTTTTTATTATTATTTTCATAAAGATTTGTTTGTTTTTTTATTATTATTTTCATAAAGATTGTTTTATATTAGGTATATAAACTATGTCGAAGTAAGTAATAAGGGATATTATATGTGATGGGATATTTAAATGCTAAAGAAAAAACTATGTAAGAATTACTAAATTCACTGTTTTGTATTAAACTGTACAAAGAGCGCCTCTCGCCATCAAACGTTACAGTTTGGCGAGTTTAGTTTTTAAGGACACAATTTGTAATAAGTTCACTGAATAAAGTATTTAAAAAAAAAAAAAAAAAAACTTTGTATCAGAGAGCCATTGTTACCCGTTTAGACAAATAGTTTTTTTCAAATAACAGTAACAATTACACTAATCACACTTATATTATAAACTAGCGACCCACCCCGGCTTCGCATGGGTCCAATATGTATGTCATTGTCCATTTAAACCTTCCTTAAGAATCACTCTATCTATTTAAAAAATTGCATCCAAATCTATTTCATAGTTTTAAAGATCATACATAGGGACAGACAGACAGCGGATAGTGACTTTGTTTTATACTATGTAGTGATGTGAAAGTTTGATTGTTCGGATGTTTGTCCGTCAATCACTCTGAAACTACTGAACGGATTTTGATGAAATTTAGTATACAAGCTGACTTTAGGCTGACTCCGGCGATAGGACTTTTTATCCCATGCTATCAAATACTCCCATGGGATAGAACAGGAATCATATTCAATGTGAATGAAGTCACAGGCAACAGCTAGTACTAATATATAAACCTGAAAAGTTTGTTTGTTTGTAGTACAAATACTTACTTAAGTAAAAAAACCTCCAAATGTAACATTGTCTTAATATTTGATTGATAATTTCTAATAATGCTGTGTGAATGTTTATTTAATGACTAAACATAATTGTCCATACAAGGTGTTGTGACAATACTCGGGATCATATCACAGAAATCATAAATAATCAATTTAAGAATGAAGAAGTTGTGGCGGGCTTGTCCCGAAAAACAAATCCTACCTTTAAAGAAAAGCACTTGGAGGCTGGGGTTGTACACTTCGCTGTTGTGGAGAGTTTTAGCATTTAAAAGTTTCATTATCCACATTTCGAGCAATGTGCAGCCTCATGACCGTTGATTGTGGTCGTGGTTGATGCATCAGATATTAAAGCAATATTGAACCCACCTTTATTTCCATGGTGTACAATTCCGTTCGAATTTAACTTAAAAAAAAAATTACAAAACAATTTTACTTTATACTCAATAATTACAATTATGTTATACTCTTATACTATTATATAAAGCGGAAGAGTTTGTTTTTTGGTTAGTTTCAACGCGCTAATCTCCGTCTCCGTAACTACAAGTCTGAATTGAATAATTCTTTTTGAGTTGGATAATTCATTTATTGAGGAAGGCTATAAGCTATAAAACATCACGCTACGACCAATAGGAGCCAACCAGAGCGAGTGAAACGGCGCGGAAGAAGCTAGTAAACAATATAACTAATGCCCAATGCTATAAATTATAATTAATACCCAATTTACATTTAAACGTCACTAGTATTATCGAACTTGCTATTCAAAAACCTTCTTTATTTGCTCTACTTAAGCCAAGGACTTAGACAATCGATATCATCCCCTCTTAACTTGGCGCCAGCTTGTCTCACGTTATCCATTGGATGTTTGGTGCTCAGCCAGCAACGCTATGTAGGTAAAGGGAACTTCCTGATATGTAACATTCTTAACCTAGTTGTATCTAAAATGAGTACTATAAAAAATAAGTATATGGCATTTTCTTCCAGTCTGTTCATTCCATGTATGATCTGTACCCATATGAAGTCAAAGTCAAAATCATTTATTTCAATTAGACCAGAAAGGCACTTTCGAACGTCAACAAAAAATTTAAAGTGAAACTATTGGCTCATTCCAAGGTGTAGATTCCTATGGAGTAGAACAAGCAAGAAACTCCATAGGTTACTCTTTTTCAATCAGGTTCACAATACAATTCTCTAATTACATAGTTTTGAGTTTTGTTGTTTGGATTGTGCGAGAACAATGTAACACTAAAATCCAGTCAAAGAGGTCGAAAAAGGTCTACCACTACCCAATAAAAACTGCTATAATCTGCTCGACTTCTCGCTATTATGCACCTGTCCTAAAAATACCATAATATCAAATCCCTTATCACTCACGCCTAGGAATGTTTCAGAGTCAAAATCACTTAGATTATTTTATGTCGTGGTGGCCCGGAGGTTTAAGACGCCCGCTTCTCATGCATGAGGGTGCGAGTTCAAAACCTACCAACAGCAAGTACCAATGTGACTTTTTCCGAGTTATATGTACTTTCTAAGATCATTTGGACACCACTGACAAACGGTGAAGGAAAACATCGTGAGGAAACCTGGGCTTATAATTTCTAATTATAAGTTTGTAATCACTAAACCGCATTGAGCAAGCGTGGTGATTAATGCTCAAACCTTCTCCGTGTGGGAAGAGGCATTGGTCAGCAGTAGGCATTTATAGGCTGTTGATGATTATAAATGATACACGATGATCGCTTGACAACTCACTGAACTGAACTTTTGTTACAAACTTAACAATGATGATGATGATTTTATTTTTTATAGGTTTCACATTCAGTGCAAATTATTATTTTATACTACTTAGTTTCTACCAGCGGTTTCGCCCACCTTCCCGTGGGATGAAAGTAACCTATGAGTTTTTATGCAGACCGTAATCTACCCCTGTTCCAAATTTCATCCGGATCCCTTCAGCCATTTTGACGTGATTGAGTGACAAACATACAAACAAACTTTCGCAATTATAGTTTTAGTAAGATTTTTAATGTGTTGACTTTATTCTGACACATCCTGTATTATTTATCTGTTTGATACTTTTAAATATTTTTAAAAGATATTTTATCCTTACTATCCTTACTAATATTATAAATCGGAAAGTGAGTTTGTTTGTTTGTTTGTTCCACTTTCACGGCGTAACTACTAAACCGAGTGCTTTGAATTTTTGCAGACGTGAAGTTAGAAGTCTGGATTAAATAATGGGGTACTTTTTATCCCGGAAAAATTTGATATTCTCGAGGGAAAACGAAATTATTGGTATAGATGGCGCTGTGTGTATTGGTATATGTCACATAGGCTACTTTTTATCCTTTTGTGACGCGAGCGAAACAGCGGGTAAAAGCTAGTGCAAGATAATTTTATTTAACATTCTCACAATCGTTGTTGTTTCTCTTTTCACAGGAAGTAGTGCCTATGACAGATTTCCCGGCTCCCCGTTGGATCTTGTTCTACCCTGACACACCGCTCACCGAGACACTAATGGATGAAGTGGGCCTCAAACTTAAAATGAAAAAGCTTAACAAGTTTCCTGGTAAGAATATGATTTATTTATTTATTTATTACACACACAAGTTAACATTACAGGTTTAGGACCCAATGCGATAACAAGGTATTATTAAATCTAGCGACTACTTACACCATATTAAACTTATACTAACGAATAAAGTAATCCAAACAATTACAGAGAAAAACAAACCTTGTATTAAATTTAATAAAATAAAGACAAATAAATAGCATTATTATTATTGTTTATCTATAACATAAATTATATAACAGAATGATAATTTCTTTCGGTAATAAGTAGCCTATCTGTTATTCCAAACCATAATCTATCTTTGTTCCCAATTTCATCCCGATTTCTGCAGCCGTTTTCAAGTGATTGTGTAACATGTGTATGCTACACACAAAGTTTCGCATTTACAAGAAGATTGTTGCATAATACAAATGCGTGGTCTGGAGCCATAACAAGGAATCATGTCGACTATGATTACGTTGAAAGTATACAATCACTGTTTATAAATTAACATAATGTATTTTCGATGCAGTCATTGTATTTTTAGACAACTAAAGCAATAGAGTCCAAACAATTATGACTGCACTGCACAATTGGTCTTAGCGCGATGACTGACTGACCGACTGATGCTATTTTGATTTATTTTCTTACTTTTTTTAAACATAGTACCTATATGGCGTACGAGGTCAAGGGTGGTACTACTTAAAATGGTGACGTCAATAATGTAGACGTCACATGGTTTGAGGAACTGGTTATGCTCTAAGGACAGACGAGGAAACCAACGTCTGTCGTCTCCCTTGTATTTCTACATCGTAATTAACCAAACACTAAACAATTAATGATTTATAAACTAACTAGCTACGCGCGGGCGGTTTCACACGCTCTGCTCTGCTCCTATTGGTCGTAGCGTGATGTTTTATAGCATATATCCATCCTCGATAAATGCGCTATCCAACATAAAAATAATTATTCAAATCAGACTTGTAGTTACGGAGATTAGCGCGTTCAAACAATCAAACAAAAAAACAAACTCTTTACTCACGTATTATACATATAAACCTTCCTCTTGAATAACTCTCTCTATTAAAAAAACCGCATCAAAATCCGTTGCGTAGTTTCAAAGATTTAAGCATACAAAGGGACATAGGTACAGAGAAAGCGACTTTGTTTTATACTATGTAGTGATAAGATTTCAAACGTAAAAAATATTTCAAATATATTTTAATTATTACATTTTTAACAATCAATTATTCGTTTATTTTCATTCTTTCGCTTCCATATAAAATGAAAGCAATGCAAAAGCAACAATGATGCGTTTCCCCTCATACAATCAGCGCCTCCAATGGCAACCGCCGTACCAGAGGTTAATTACAAGCGTCTTACCGGCCTTTTAGGAGATGATGGAGCAATTGACCTCCGATAGCCTCACATACACGGTGAAACATAAAAAAAAAAAAAATAAAAAAAAATAAAAATAAATGTTTAATATATAAATATATGAACCTACATAGAATATATAAGTACATTTTTCATAAATAATACAAATAGCATTACAAAATAACTACTTATAACTAATAATAAAAAATCTGCGATACATAATCTAAATAAAATTAGCGTCCTCCTCTCTTCTACGTTGCCGTGCCTTTTTTTTTTTTTAAGGGGGGAAAATCATCGAATGACTGCTCCCGCCTGGGTGAGGCGGAAGGGAGTGTCAGACTCTTACTGACTAAAAACCACCCCGTTCCTTCTCCTGCACGTCGAGCCGGAGCCCCGGTTACCCGTTAGGTTCTCCGCGACTCCGAATCGGCATCGGCCCTATTGGGCCCCATCTGTGGTGGTCTGATGGCTCTTTGAGGCGCGCGCGGAACGCGACGCGCCGTACGCTCGGGTCTGTTTCTGGTCGGACGGGGAGCCACCCATGCTCGCCGTCCGCAGGCCCGCGCTTACGGTGGCCGGAGATCGTCCCGCGATCCCCGACGCCCGGTGTGTCCTTCGCGATGGCTGGGTTGCGAGGAGGCAGCGCTCCGCTGCCTCACGCGTCCCGCCTCCTCCTTAGCCAGCATGACTGCTTCGCAAAAGGAGGAGACGGCATCCCAGTCCCCCTCGCTCCGCATCATGGCCTGCACTAGGCCCGGACGCGAGAGGTCTCCATCGCCGATCACTTCCCTGAGGGCACGGCGGTGCTCAGCCCACGCAGGGCATTCCGCAACAGTGTGTTCCACCGTGTCCTCAGGGTGGTCTTCGCAGTGATGACACCCGGGCGTTTCCTCCCGCCCCATCAGACACAGGTACCTCCCGAAACTTCCATGTCCGGTGAGGACCTGCGTCAGGCGGTAGGTGAGGACACCGTAGCGTCTCTCAAGCCACTCCTCAAAGAGGGGACTTACCGCTGCAATGGCACAGGGTCCATACTGTACTATATTATTATGTAACACCTTATAAACATATGGAGTGCAATAAACGTATTGAGTATTGAACATAAATCATTAAGTTTATTCTCTTCATGCAATGTACCATAATAATATTTTTTCCACAGATTACACCGTAAGAGGGTACTTTCCTGCTACAAATAAAAGTCTCATCAATGAATTCGCGTCTAAAATGAGGTTTAAAGAAGCTATCGTTATTTTTCAAGTAAGTTGTTTATTATTTATTTAGTACCATGCCTTTAGGCCACTTCACATTTTTATACGACACGGCACATAGATAAATGAAACAAGGAATACAATAAATAGTTACTGAGAATACTCGAAAACCAAAAAGACCCAATAACTATGCAAGGGTCGTTAATCAAACTTGGAATCTCTTCGACAAGACTAATTAGGTAGCGAGTGTACTTATGGAACCCTTACAAGAAATGTATTATAGCAATAAACTTATAATTATAAGCAATGTGTTGTCCAATCAGAAAATGTCCGGTGAGACATGGCCGGACAGACTGAACTACACGATACGAATAAAGGACGACTTCGGGATCAACTCGTACGAGAGCCTCGATGTTAATCCTGGACCGCATAGAATGTTTGGTAAGACGCCATCTTTGATATATATATGTGTTACACTTTTTAACCGAATTCAAATTAGTAATACATTAAATATATTTTCCACTAATCAAGCCATTTCGTTTGATACCTATAATGGAGGTTATTGTGAAAATAAAATAGATTCTAATGTTGAATGGTAACCAATTAATCAGAATCAGGCCAATCTGTCGCTAAGAAGAGGTAAAAGTCCAAGTACTTTTGACTGCAAACAAACAAACGGGGCAAGTTAAATAAAACCTTTTAAAAACAAGTTGTAAGTTTATAACATATCTATATTCCATTAGAGTAGATATTGCTACACCGTGCAATGTGGAAATGAGGTATTTGAGACACGGCTCGGTCGTCTCCAAAAATGAATATTTGTAGGTCTGTAGGTTGGTTAAGCTTATGACGTACAATAGAGATTAGTTTGTTTTTTAATGGCATAAGCCGGTAAACGAGTAGACGGATCACCTGATGGTAAGTATCGGTGTCGCCCATGGACACCTGGAACACCAGAGGCGTTACAAGTGCGTTACCGACCTTTTGGGGATTAGGAGTTTGAGGATCGTTGAAGATTCAGGAATCCCGGCCTCCGGTAACCTCACTCACACGATGAAACACAACGCAAGCGTTGCTTCACGTCGGTTTTCTGTGAGGCCGTGGTATCACTCCGATCGAGCCGGCCCATTCGTGGCGAAGCATGGCTCTCCAAAAGTTTGAAATTACTTTCAGCTTCTACCGTTTTTATTAAGTTAAAATTCCTCTTATCGAATTTGTTTTTATCTATCCCATTCCCAGCCCTGTATAGCTTCACACACATTAATATACTAAAAAATACACATTTATTCTAGCTGAAAGTATCCCTTCAGCTAGAATTAATGTATATATTGATTATTTTATATTCACTAGGTATAAAATACGAGACGTTCATGCGTATCCAGTGGGCGATCGACACGAGCTACCTTAAACTGCTGACCAGCACTGAAGTTACTCAGGTAATCCTATATTAACATATATCTGTCTATACAGGGTGTAAACGGAACCGAAAACGCAGATTATTTTTAACCGACTTCAAAAAAAGGAGGTTCTCAATTTGACTTGTATGTGTAAATTTCGAGTGATTATCTCGCGATCAGCTGAACCAATTTTGATGCGGTTTTCAAAACAGTGTTTGTTACTCTTAGAATAAGCTCTTAGTATATTAATTAACCGACTGCAAAAAGAGGGGTTAGAGTTCGGTTTTTTTTTCTTTTGATTTGATAGGCCGACGTTTGACCACTATCTCGCCTGGTGGTAAGCGATGATACGGTCTACGATGGATCTCGTTGTCCCATAAGCAACCTATTCACTCGGGCCTTAAAGACACCCGGGTTATACCCTTCAGGAAATGCATACATGGCAAAGAAAAACGAGCACACGGATCACCTGATGTTAAGCAATCAGCGCCGCCCATAGACACCTGAAACACCAAAGCGTTACAAGTGCGTTACCGGCCTTTTGGGAATTGAGAATTTGAGGATTGTGGAGGATTCGGGGATCGGGGAGACTGGGAAGGTAAATGTGCCTCCGGTAACCTCACTTACACGACGAAACACAACGCAATCGTTGTTTCACGTCGGTATTATGTGAGCTTAACTTAACCCAGTCATTAACAATTATTGTCGGACTAAAATCGTTACTACGGAATAGTTGTAAGTCTATGTTTTATTGTTCCTAAGACCTGCAGATTATCTGTTAGTAATTGGTTGCTACTGACAACACAAGTATTCAAATCGTCAACCTACATGACAAAAAATCGATATCATAATTGAAAAGTAGCTATAAAAGTTTGTATAACTTTACCAAGTTTATGTACTTTCTAAGTTTATTTAGACACCACTGACGTACGCTGAAGGGAAACATCGGAAGAAAACTTGGCTTTCATTTTAAAGTTTGAAATCGCCCTTAAAAATCCACCTTGAGCAATCGTGGTGATTAAAACTCATACCTTCAACGTTGGAAAAGTGGCCTCCTTTGTTCAACAGTAGATACTTATAGGCTGATGGTGGTGATGATGATGATGATAAAGAGTATTAAACTACATTTTAAACAAAACCAGCAAAGAAACGCAGCCACTATTGTATTTTCTCTTTCATTTATACATATTTTCTGATACAAATATTTTATTAATTGGTAACGTATGTCGTATAAAAAATAATTTACCATCTTAAAAAAAAGATAATTTTTTGAGGGGGAAATATCATCCAATAACTTTTATTTTTAAAAAAAGAACGTTGCCCTACACTTGGATTTTCTTCTGTGTCGTAGGTGCGTTTACAAACATACACGATCACATACACATGATGAGGTGAGGCGAGAAGGAGTGTCAGACTCTTACTGACTAAAAACCACCCCGTTCCTACTCCTGCACTTCGAGCCGGAGCCCTGGTAACCCGTTAAGTCTTCCGCGACTCCGTATCGGCATCAGCCCTGTTGGGCCCCATCCGTGGTGGTCTGATGGCTCCTTGAGACGCGCGCGGAACGCGATGCGTCGTACGCTCGGGCTATTACACACCTGGAATGTCGTCTTCTCTCGCCCGGGTGAGGCGTGAAGGAGTGTCAGATTCTTACTGACTTACACCACCCCGTTCCTACTCCTGCACTTCAAGCCGGAGCCCCGGCAACCCGCGGCTTCGTAGTTGTGGTGAAGAGCATTAAGTTTGACAAATTGAGAAAAATCACTAGTGGTTTTGTTTCTTCGCTCCCAAGTGAATAATAGTTTTCTATTTATTTGCAATCATTCTCTTTAATGTTTTGTCTGCCAAGTCAAAAGGAAAATGCGCCAAGCTACGACCACATACCATGTCAACATAATTATTTTTGTTGGCTTATGCTGCTATCAGTAAAATTCATGTTATTTAGAAAATACAAGCTGCACAATTAACAAAGGAAATAAAACGATCCTTATTAATGTACAGAATTTTGCATTCGAATAAATAATATGAATAAATATGTAGGTGAATGTAGTGAAAGAGATTTATGTTAAACTAGCATCTACCCGCGGCTTCTCCTACGTTCCCGTGGTATAAAAAGTAGCCTATTTGTTATTGCAGATCATAATCTATCCCTGTTCCAAATTTGAACCCCATCCCTTCAGCCGTTAGCAACAAACATACACACAAACACACAAACTATTGCATTTATAATATTAGTAAGATGAAGAACTTAAATTCGCTGTATGACGTTTGCCATGTTGTCTCCTATTTATAAACCCCTATCGGGGCTCGAAACTAGTCGAGCATCCTCGAACGTAAATCAGCAGTTATATAAATTTGTAGACAAAAGTGAATTTATGAATCTTACTGGTCACAATCACAAATTCTAATCTTATAGCGATTTGAAAAACACTTTTATTTAGTCGAACGTCTCTTTATTATAGGAAGCCTTAAATAACAGACGGAAATGCAACTTAGACATAACATCTGGATGTACTATTATCTATACAAAAACCGGCAAAGCCAAATAAATTCGCTAGAAAATCAAAATAACCCTATGAACAATGGCCACACATTTCAATCGTGGAGAAAACAATGCCTATTGTGACCTGACAGGATATGGTCACAGGCCACTAGTATGACAAATCACCATGCAATTATCTTATCATTCATGGCTACTGCCAGATGATCAGATGACAACTTAAACACCACTAGTCACACTATACAAGGCAAATGAACTCCTATAGTCAATGAAATAAAAACTGTTTTTGAATATAACTACAAAGTTGTACGTACTATGTAGTATCAACATAAATAATGTAAATATTATTATACTTAGCGTTTATAATTAACATTGTTCGTGTTATCGCAATTAATGTGGTAAACTGGTACTGTTTATCAGTATGCCGTACGCCTAATTTTATCGAAAACGGTTCAGCAGTTTTTGCGTTAGTGAGTAGCATGTCACATAGATACACTTATTTATATGTAGGAAGACACTCCCGTGGTTATGATGAAGGGGGAACCCTAAAAAAATGCGTCTATTTAATTATTAATTATGAGTAGTAGCCTGTCTATAGTTAGTATTTTATTGGTAATGGGTGGGTCAATAGTTTTTCCTTGCAATTGAATAAATATCTTATTAATAAAATCAAATCATTGATTTCTATATAATTGTTTATGACGACCCTGACAGGAAGGAAGCTTAACGACTGGAGAGCTCTTCCACAATCACATACATACATTAAGATAAGACACACAAGAACTGAGTAAGAACTGGAGCTCTATCTTGTCCAAGTAACCACCAATACTACTAATACTATAAATGCGAATGTTTGTATGTTTATTTGTTACGCCTTCATGTCAAAACGGCTGAAGCGATCGGGATCAAATTTGGAACAGGGGTAGATTTTTTTTTTATGGCATAAGCCGGTAAACTTGCCGATGGATCACCTGATGGTAAACAATCGGCGCCACCCATGGACACCTGGAACACCAGAAGCGTTACAAGTGCGTTACCGGCCTTTTGGGGATTAGGAGTTTAAGGATTGTTGGGGATTCGGGGATTTGGGAGATTGGGGAAGGGAGGAGGGAGCTGGGCCTCCGGTAACCTCACTCACACGACGAAACACAACGCAAGCGTTGCTTCACGTCGGTTTTCTGTGAGGCCGTGGTATCACACCGGTCGAGCCGGCCCATTCGTGCCGAAGCATGGTTCTCCCACACTTAAATTACTACCACACATAGGCTACTTTCTTCGCACAGAAGCTAGTTTTAAATGAACAAAGCAACTTTTACATTTTAAATAATGATTGAACGAATACCTTGTATTTTATTGGCGACATCTATACTATAGCTCTCGTTCACGTTACGCAACTAGAAACTGCAATTATTTCACAACTACATTTTGTCACTGAACGACCTTTTAACTGTTGGTTACTTGTTTAATCGCAATGAGTTGTAAATGAGAAAGCTTAGTGTCCTAATCACTATTAAGGCAAGCAAGTTATCAGTATACGGATTCCTTTTCTTAGGGGGAAAATCATCCAATGAATTCTCCAGCCTTGGTGAAGCGAGCGAATTTCAGACTCTTACCGACTAAAGACCACCCCGTTCCTACTCCTGCTCTTCGAGCTGGAGCCTCGGCACCCGGTTTAGTCTTCCGCAGCTCCGTATCCCCTCCAGGATTCCCTTACGGATTACTGACTCCTGCATTAAATCCACCGAGGCAACTGAACACTATTTCGTTTTCATCGCCTCTAATAATATCTCGTGATTGATTTCTTTGTGTATCTAAGACAGGACGATGTCCTCATGGTTATATCTATTGTAAATTCTACATTATATTTCTATAGTATAAATAGATAAAACAGTAGTACTTTTTTATACAATAGGCAGGTTTTAAGTTCCTTAGTCATCGCATCACCTTTTATGTAATAACTGGATTGATTACGCTATTATTTGTCGTGATTGTTATGTAAAATGAAAACAAAGTAAATGGCACGTCAGTGACGTCGCGCTGGTAATGACGATACGTTGACCATAATATCATTAAAGATGTGCTTCTAAATTATACACATAGCATTCGTAGCTATGAGGAAAATTAAAATAAATTACTGAATACAGATATCACAACAAAACTAGAATTAACTGTCCGACACGGCCTTCGAATCTTCAAGAAAATAACGTATTTTCCTTCATACAAGACCACGCACTTGTGGCTCCTATATCCCCTATATCCATGGGCAACACCAGAGATAATTCCGTGTGAGAATCAGTGGCGGCTGTACCTTAAGTGCGCTCGTGCACTGAATCACCAATTCAAAAGATTTAAAAATTACAAAATATTAAGTAGGTACCTACTTCATCTTTATTTTTATATTACCATTTTAATATTTATTTTAAAACATACAAAAATTAAATCTCCAATTATAGTTTTAAAGCGGTTAACTAAACTATTGAGATTTATTTTCCTATAAAGACAAATTCTCGTGCGCTTCGGCGAGTGCACGAAGACTGCTAATATAACTTGTAGGAAATACGCGTGAAACAAAAGGTAGTTTGACATGCATGTTGCACTGCAGCTAGTCCACCAGCCACTGTGCCCACCAAGTCATTTTATAACTTATTAGCTTCTGTCAGCAGCTTCCGTGGCATAAAAAATAGCCTTTTTTTAAGGGAGGAAAATGATCGAATGGCTGCTCCCGCCTGGGTGAGGCGGGAGGGAGTGTCAGACTCTTACTGACTAAAAACCATCCCGTTCCTTCTCCTGCCCATCGAGCCGGAGCCCCGGTAACCCGTTAGGTTCTCCGCGACTCCGAATCGGCATAAAAAATAGCCTACATGTTCCAGACCATTATCTATCTGGCTGGTTCAAACATCCCGATCCTTTTAGCCGTTTTTGGCGTGATTGAGTAACAAATATTCACACCAACACACAGACTCATCAACTTTCACGTTTACAATATGTACCTATAGATGTATCCTTACTTATATTATAAATCGGAAAGTGAGTTTGTTTGTTTGTTCCGCTTTCACGACGTAACTACTTAACCGATTGCTTTGAAATTTTGCAGAGGTAAAGTTAGAAGTCTGGATTAAATAATTGGGTACTTTTTATCCCGATAAATTTGATATTCTCGAGGGAAAACGAAATTATTAGTATAGATGGCGCTGTGTGTATTGGTATATGTCACATATGCTACTTTTTACTTTACTTTTGTGACGCGAGAGAAGCCGCGGGTAAAAGCTAGTAGTATATAGTGGCATATAGTAAGATAATGACATCTAATGAGTCATGATCTTATTATTGAAGCTTGAAGCCATGACTTGTATTGATTGAGCGAAGGAATATGAAGCGGGCGTGGTAGTGTGGGTGACCCTTGCAAATGACTCATACTCATAACGATCAATAATCATGCTTGCGACGTTTTATTCATTACTTTTTTAAATGATATTTTGAATTTTAATCCGTTTAATTTAAATTAAGTAACAAAAATTTACGAATAAATTTACTTAATTAAAATTAAATATAAATTTACTCACGTACATATAGTAGGACTGAGACTACAGAGGGACTATTAGGTATATAGTACAAAACTAGTAAAGTTTTTTTTGTATATTTATGTGAGAACTCGTATTTTTTAGTTAATTTAGTGTTTCACGATAGTTATTATAAAAACATACCAAACCGTGCAATATATGGATCTGTGTAACTTTTCAGACGTATATAATAATGATATTATGGTACCTATAAATGCAATGATAATCGAACAATATCAATTATTCAACAATGCAAATACCATCCACCTATCGCCTGGTATGTTATCTATAGTACGAGCGTAGTCCTTGATTGTTATGACCTCATCATCAACCCTTTCACTGTGAGACTATATAGACTTCTTCTGTATAAGAAGTTTGACAAAATCTTTGCGCTTGACAAGCGAATTTAAGATCATCTTATCTAATATCTTATACTATTATTTAAAGCGGAATAGTTTGCTTTTTTTGTTTGTTTGTTTGAACGCACTAATCTCCGTACCTACAAGTCTGAATTGAATGATTCTATTTGTGTTAGATAGCGCATTTATCGAGGATGGCTATAGGCTATAAAACATCACGCTGCGACCAATAGGAGCTGAGCAGAGCCTGTGAAACAACACGGAAGTAGCTAGTACTATTATACATATAATTATAAAGCTGAAGAGTTTGTTTGTTTGAACGCGCTTATATCAGAAACTACTGGTCCGGTTTGAAAAAATATTTCTTTCTTGCATATGCACGTGTGTAATATGCCCCTCTGCCTACCCTTTCGGGGATAAAAGGCGTGATGATATTTTTTATTTAAAAAAAGCTGTTATCTTAGTTAATTTTGTATTTTTTTAATAATTTTGTAATTACTTAATGGGCCAGTAGAATACCAGCGCAAGGCCCTGTCTTGCACCATGCTGAACTGGTCCCATTTCGCGGCAGACTTGGGACATGAACATGTATCCTTCAGTACCTACTAATACAATAACACATCTGTACATGCCACTTGTTTTTAGAGAGAAATAAAGATTATTTTCTTTCTTTCTTTACTTCCAAAATTTCTTGTAACAATAAACTTTGTATAATTATTACCATACTTCGTACAAATTGGAGTGGAATTCTTTACCAGAGGCTTTGTTTCCTGGAGGGTATAACCTGGGTGTCTTCAAGGCTTGAGTGAAAAGGTTACTTATGGGCACATGTGCTCCATAATAAGCCGCATCATCGCTTACCACTAGGCGAGTTAGTGGTCAAACAAAAAAAATAAAAAAAAAGTCGGCCCATCAAATACATGTATAAAAAAATCTTATTCATATTCCACGCGCCACTTATATGCGACTTGCTTTCTGCAGGAACTTACGACACAAGAGTTCCCGTACTATCAGTCTCAAAACAATGAGAGTATAGGTATCGTCTGCTTGCTTATGAAGACGGTCTGCTGGATATCCATGATGCTGCCCTTCATATTCCTCATGGGCCGGCTCCTACAAGAACGTGCGACCGGCATACAGGTACTAATTTACATAATAATAACTTTGACATGTGTGTATGTATGTTTGTCCGCGATTGTCTCGCGATTGGCTGTACCGATTTTGATGTGGTTTTCAGAAAAGTGTTTGTTAAACTTAGGAGAAGGTTTTAGTATATTAACCCCTCGAGCGTCCTTATGAGCACCGGGTGGATCATGAGAAAAAATGCTCCATGCTGCTTTCTCTTTTATAAAATCTATTATTAATGTTTTGTTTTTATTTTGACTGTATTTGTTTTATTTCTATTGTAATGATCTTTGTTTTCATGTGCCAATGGCCAAATAAATTCATTTTCTTTCTTTCTTTCTCCAAATGTCACTTGTGCATCCGTTGGATCATAAGGAACGCGGACGCTCGACGGGTTAATAAACCGGCTCCAAAAAAGCGGGGGTTGAAGTCGGTTTTTAACTTAGTTTATAAGATTTGCTATTAATTTCAGTAACTTGATACTTTTAATTGGCCGATAATTAAGCTACCTGTGTTAAATATAGCTGATTAATGTCCAAATACTTAAGCGACACTCAATTTTAAGTCACGCTTAAGTGTAGTTCTGTCAAAATTTAGTAGCCTTTCAGTATTCGGGCGTAAATTTCTATTAATCTTAACTAACAGATAATTTCATTGCTACACAGTATCTAACAGTCGCTGTACGAAATGTTTCATTAGGCTAACAAACAGTTAATAAGATATAGTACAACAGGCCCCTGCCTTATAATTATATTTAAACTTCAACCTACTTTCAGCTTTTCATTGAATAAAGTCTAATCACATGTGATACATGTTATTTATTGTTTTGTTTTCTCATCTTACAGGAACTGATAAAAATGGTGGGAGTTTCTCAAAACATACTAGGATTGTCACACTTCCTGAACGTGTTGCTGAGCGGGCTGGTGTTCTCTATCGGAGGTGCCATACTGCTGAAGACGACCTCCAACCCTCTCATCAACAACTCCAACGGATTCCTCATATTCCTGATGCTGCTTCTCTACTTCAACACTATCATGGCAATGGCTTTTGTCTGCAGCTACGTTTCGAAAGGAAGTAAGTCGATTTTTGCCTCCCTTCGCTCTAAATAATTTACCGTAATCACTAAAAACCTAGGGGTCTGGCACATTTTTTCATGGTATAGAGCGACAAACGACCAGAGGAATCACCTGAAGAGAACGAGGCAACACAAGTACGCTACCGGGCTTTTGAGGTTAGGAATTTTAAGATTGGTAGAAGAGTTAGGTATATAGATGGTTGGCAGGCCACAACTGTGCGCTTCTCACGTAGCTTTCTGCCTCGCACAGCAAAACTGTGGAATGATCTGTCGTCGGCGGTATTTCCGAACCGATACGACCTTCAAACCTTCAAGAAAAGAGCGTACACCTTTTTAAAAGGCCGGCAACGCACCTGTGACTCCTCTGGTGTTGTAGGTGTCTATGGGCGGCGCTGATCGCTTACCACCAGGTGATCCGCTTGCTCGTTTGCCTCATATTTCATAAAAAAAAATTAGGTCAAACTCAAACTACATTTATTTCAATTAAACCATAATTTGGTACTTTTGAAACGTCAACAAATATGAAATAAATAATAGTCTGTCAGTCTGTCCGTCAGTGAAGTAAGGCGCTCGTTCCAAAATGTCGATTCGAGTGGAGAAGAACGAGCAAGAAACTCCATTCGTTACTCTTTTTAAAAAAAGTCTGTCCCTGGTAACTTCCCTTACGGCAAAACACAACACAAGCGTAGTTTCACGTCGCGGAGAACCTAACGCGTAATCGGGGCTCCGGCTCTACGTGCAGGAGAAGGAACGGGGTGGTTTTTAGTCAGTAAGAGTCTGACACTCCCTCCCGCCTCACCTAGGCGGGACCAGTCATTCAATGATTTTCCACCCTTAAAAAAAAGAAAACGTAGTTTCACGGTTCACAGTTTCTGTGCACATCACTTACCTTCTTTCTGTAGGCGTTTTTGTATGTGTCCACAGCGCAGTACGTGGCGACGCTGTCAGTGCTAGCTTACATCGTGCTATGGATCCCGGCGCGGGTGCAGCTCGAGTACGACCTGCCGTACATAGTCACACTAGCCACTGGGCTCCTGCCACACGTGCCCATGCACTGGTTCTGGGCGGAAGTCTCTGTGCTCGAGATGTATGGTGAGTAATGTTTTATCATAATTTAATTAGCTATGTTTAGGGAACAGCGAGTTAGGTTCCCTAAGATCGGAAAAGGAGGATCCTCAGGCGACTCCACCAGGCGAGGTGATGCCTGGCTGATTACGGAAAATGTGGAAGAATAGATCAAATTGATCAAGTTACTGTCCTAGTTCACAAGACCGATCTATATGACTATATTTTTAACATCTTTCATTTTCCAGGCTGCCTCATTGCCCGAGTGATCGCAAATGCGACTGCCGGACAAGGGGTCTCGGGTTCGATTCCCGGGTCGGGCAAAGTATTACTGGGTTTATAAAAAAATCTCAGTATTAGCACGGAGTTTGGAAATGTGCCCGGTATAAGACAATAGGCTCACCCCTATTACATGGGACTCGTAACATAAGTAGCGAAAAGGGGGTGTTACATTGTACAGTGGCATTAATTAAGTGCCGTGATGTGCACTTCTCAACACGCGTTTTATTCCCGAAGGGGGCCTACCCCTTATGTCATTTTCCTGGATGTATTATAGCATGTTCCTTCGTCACAGGTAGTGGAGTATACTTCAGCAACATGCTGACAGCAAAATCAAACTCCAACGTCTCAGTATTCCTGTGCTTCGTGTTCATGTTGCTGCAGGCCGGGCTGATGTACGGCCTGACCTGGTACCTGTCTTTAGTAGCCCCAGGCCAGTACGGACAGGCTCTACCCTGGAACTTCCTCTTTAAGGTACGTCCTATATCTGGAAGTGAAGTGAAGAGAGAGATTGGAGGAATGTGTTTTTTATTTCATAATATAGGAATATGTTCTGTTTGGGCTACTGGGCTAATCAAGAATTTATCGGAAGTTTTTGAGACTGCTTGTGTAATGGTGCGTCCACACCTGACGAATGCGCTGCTCGCGGGGTGCTCGCAGACACACGAGTCTGGTACATTCGACAGATGTGGACGCACCATTAGATCACACCACAGTCAGCATTATAATAAAAGGTCCTATAGGATATTCTTTTACTTTTTACATAATTGCTTCCGCACAGCATCTCTTAGGGACCATGACTATATAGTTGAACTATTTATGACCTCCAAACAGAACATTCTCATTTTATTATAAGAAAATAGCATTATCTAACTTTAGACTCCAATCAATCCAATTTATACCTTAACGTTCCCAAATAGGCTCTGTTTTCCTTCATTTTCCCTCCACTTTCAGCGATCTCGCAAGATTAAAACGCAGAAGGACTTAAAGAGTGTAGATTCGTATGATATGTTTACATACCCGATACGGTATATACCCAGCTATGAAGTGAGAAGAATTTTTACGGCTGTTGAACTGGAGAACCAATTCACGCAGTATAACGTAACAGATGTTAGTACTACCGATCATTTTGTAAACTAATACTGAAATGTAGTGTAGGGCAGTGTAGGGCGCCCTCCAGCTAGGTGGAGTGACGACATCCGCTTGCAGTGGTTGGATGAGAAGAGCTGAAGACCGAGCTCAGTGGCGTGCCATTGGAGAGCCCTATGTCCAGCAGTGGACGAATACAGGCTGATGATGATGAATACTGAAATACTCAAACGTCACTCAATTTTAAGTCGTCCTTAAGTCTCTGTCGCTACAAATTCTTTGTAAAATGACAGAGACGACACGATATTTAAGCACAATTTAAAATTGAGTAGCCTTTAAATGTTCGGGCGTAGATCATATAAACACGTCCAAATTATTATTATCATATAAAACGTACTGTCATTAAAAAACCAGCCGCTACTCTTACCGCAGCTATCGTAGTAGCCTACATAATACACTTAGGAGCTAAGAACCGGAGCCACTGGCGTGTTATTTCTTTTTCATTTTATCGAACACTATAACTTTAAAAAAATCTTTTTACAACAAAATACTCTCATTTTCGACCGACTTCAAAAAGCGAAGGAGGTTCAGTTTGACCAGTATGTATGTATGTTTGTTTGTGTGCGATCATCTCGCGACTGAAATGGAAGATGCCCCAGGACATACTGAAATAAAATATAAAGTAAGATGCGATGCCCCAGAGAGCGACAGATCACAGTGAAATCTGAGAAAAAAAACTCGCGACTGACTGAACCGATTTTGATGAGGTTTTCAGATAAATGTTTGTTACACTTAGGAGTTTAGTATTTACTAAGTAAGTAAAGTTTGTAAGTAACCAACTGCAAATCAGAGGGGGGTTGAAGTCGGTTTTTTTAAACGTGGTTTATAAAAGATATATGAAGGTAACATATTTGCCTTATATACGACATACGTTACCAATAGGGTAGATGCCTAATTTTAATAAAATGTCCGTCTGGTAACGTCTGGAAACAAATACTTTCGACGATATATTGATTTGAAATGTCGCGTGACGTCACTTCTATGTACATTTTATACGTAGAAATTACGTTTTCGCCCCCACTCCTAAACGTTGATTCGTTTTATCTGAGTGTTGTTTTATTATACGACAAAATAAAAAAATATCGTCTAATATTTTTTCATTACCTAACTTACGGACTAATTATGTTTTTAATTTTCATACCCTGTCATCATCCCAATTAATAAAATACTTGTATCAGAAAATATTTATTAAGAAATAATAATAATAAACAATCTTTATTGATGATAAAATGAACAAAATACAAAATATTATCATAATAAGCGACGTAGACCTTAAACAGTTAGATGCTCTTATTGAGATCTTATTTCTATAAACCAATACTATTTATCATGACTTAACAGATTTCAACAATTATCAAGAAATGAAAAAGATAAAGACTGCCTCATTGGCCGAGTGGTCGCAACTTGTACAGTGGCATTAAGTGCCGTAATGTGCACCTTTGCCTACCCCTTCAAGGATAAAAGGCGTGATGTTATGTTATGTGATGAAAAAGATAAAACGTTGGCTCCGTTTCATTGCTCCCAAGAATATTTAACAGAGAACATGCAGCGCTCTCAGATAAACCTGATCCTTTGAAGTGTGACCTCCAACCTACCTGCCAAGCTTCGAGATTGAGATTATGACCCTCTTTTGTAGAGTAGACCTATACTCCGGCAGTGGACTTTACATACTGTTAAAGTAATGTAAAATTGTAACTAGATTATTTAATTTTCATTAACAGTATCTCTCTCTTTACTTCCAATATAAAAATATTTGTTATAAAATACTTATGAGTGTTTATTTGTTTTAAGACTCAATACTGGAGTAAGAATGAGGTGATCCCGGATGTGGAGTCTGAAGAGGAGGATCCGATGGCTCAGGACCCGCGGTACTTCGAGTCTCCGCCTGCAAACACTGAGATCGGAATCAAAATTGTCAACGTCTCTAAGGTGAGCTGTTTTTCTCTAATAACTTTTGTGAGACGTATTATGTTCACGATATTCATTAATATTTATTTATTAACTCTTTTATGCACACAAAAATAAGGTACATAAAGCGGACTTAATGCCATATGGTATTTTCTCCCAGTCAACCTTTAGGTTAAATAGAGAATCAGCGGGAATAGTCTTGTGTAATATGAGGCCCGTCGTTATTTAAAACTTGTATAATTCAACTAGCTGCTTCTGCGCGGTTGAACCCGGTCTGCTCAGCTCGTATTGATCACAGCGTGATGGTTTAGAGCCTATAGCCTTCCTCGATAAATTAAGTACACAACACAAAAAGATTTTTTCAAATCGGATGAGTAGTTCCTGAAATTAGCGCGTTCAAATAAACATACTCTTCAGCTTAATATGTATAATAATAACATAACATAACATCACGGCTTTTATCCCCGAAGGGGTAAGCAGAGGTGCACAATACGGCACTTAATGCCACTGTACAATGTAACACCCAATTTTCACTATTTATGTTATGAGTCCCATGTAATAGGGAGTGAGCCTATTGCCATATACCAGGCACATTTCCAAACTCCGTGCTACTACTGAGGTTTTTACAAACCCAGTAATACTTTGCCCGACCGGGGAATCGAACCCGATACCCCTTTTTTTTAAGGGGGGAAAATCATCGAATGGCTGCTCCCGCCTGGGTGAGACGGGAGGGAGTGTCAGACTCTTACTGACTAAAAACCACCCCGTTCCTTCTCCTGCACGTCGAGCCGGAGCCCCGGTTACCCGTTAGGTTCTCCGCGACTCAACCCGAGACCCCTTGTCTCGCAATCGCACTTGCGACCACTCGGCCAATGAGGCAGTATAATAAGATGTGATATATGATTAATTTCAGTCGTAAGGCCTTTACTCGGTTTCAAAAGTACTTGTTTAATTTATTTAAATTAATGATGATGTAATGATGTTATCTACAGGTGTACCCGAAGCAGCGAGTGTTACGTAATGTGTCGCTGGAGGTGTACAAGGGAGAGATCACGGTGCTGCTGGGACATAATGGCGCCGGAAAGACCACGCTCATGTCTATCATCACTGGTAACTTATTATTTTATAGCAAGCAATTTACCGCAACACCAGATGCTAATTAAAAATGCTTTGTTGGCCTTTTAGGGATTCAGGTCATGAGAATGGTCCTCCTGTAACCTCACTCATACGACGAAACACAACGCAAGCGTGGTTTCACGTCAGTTTTCTTTGAGACTGTGGTTGAACCAGCGAATTTGTACCAATGCATGGCTCCTCGACGTATAATGATTACTTCATCATGCTAAACTAGGTCAGTCCACCGCTGGCTGCCACAGATGACAGATAACATAACATCACGCCATCCCCGAAGGGGTAGGCAGAGGTGCACATTATACCACTGTATAATGTAACACCCCCTTTTCACTATTTATGTTATGAGTCCCATATAATAGGGGGTGAGCCTATTGCCATATACCGGGCACAATTCCGGACTCCATGCTACTACTGAGAATATTTAAAAACACAATAATACTTTGCCCGACCCAGGAATCGAACCTGAGACCCCTTGCCCGGCAGTCGCGCTTACGACCACTCGGCCAAAGAGGCAGTCATATATGACAGATAATAAGTATATTTTGTTTGTAAAATATTTTAAAGAGGTTGTATACCGTCAGGTATGACGAGTGCTACGGAGGGCAACGTGTACGTGAACGGCAAGGACACGCTGCGACAACGTCACGAGGTCCGGCAGAACCTCGGGCTCTGTCCGCAACACAACCTCTTCTTCCCCGACCTCAGTCTGCGGGAGCATATCATGTTCTTTACTATGGTGAGATTTATCAACATTATCTATTGGTTTTCAGAGCTTCGTACTAAGCCCTCTGAGATCTCCACAACTTCCAGATATATCGCTTTTGCAATTTGATTATAATATACTGATAGATAATCTTACTAAAGTTATTTAGACACTATTGAGAAACGGTGAAGGATAACATCGTGAGGAGCTTCTTTTTGAGCAAGATAGTGTGATGTGCAATAGATAATTTACTAAAAGTCGTGGGTTATTCACGTGATAATACCTGAGTATTAAAAGCTCTACTAATTTCGAGCCACTTATGGGCTCTTCCTCATGAGCAGCGTGCGCGGTCGCGGCGATGTCGCGTACAACGATACTAGTAGAGCTTTCTCAGTATTTTTACGCTAGTAAATCGTGACGATTAAGTTAATTATGATTTTTTTGAAATTGTAATATTCTCCTCGTGTTTTGATTAGTTGAAGCGCGGTACGTACTCGGAGGCGCGGGAGTCGTCCCGTGCGCTGGCGACGCAGCTGGGCCTGCAGGCCAAGCTGGGCGCCATGTGCCAGCACCTGTCGGGCGGCATGCAGCGCCGCGCCCAGCTGGCCTGCGCGCTGGCCGGCGGCGCCGACGTGCTCATACTGGACGAGCCCACCTCCGGCCTCGACGTCGAGACCCGCCGGGAGCTGTGGGACCTGCTACTGGTCAGTGATGTTTTTAAACGGTTTGATTTATCTTGCCCAGGATTTTTGTTTGGTTCAAAGGATGACGGGCAGAATGTACCTACTGATCAATACCGACCAGACGTATGTCGTTAGAAAACTGTTTTCATGACTGTCATTTATTATAACGGGGGCTAGTCTTAATTCGTTGTAGGGAAAATGTTATAGTTACTTAAATGATATCTATTAAAGGGCATGGTGTAATGTTGGACTCACCTCTTAATAGGAATAAGATAACCCTCTATGGATAGGTATTTTTATGCAAAATAATCATGGAATGACTAAGATCAAAAGTCAGTGGTACATTCCCATAAATGGTTGCCCGTCATCCTTTCTTTGTGTTGTGTATCTGTGGTATACTCTATGGACATAGTATAGTCTATGGTGAGAAGTTATCTATGTGCGTGGCGGAGCCCGCGAATTTATAAAAAACAGAAGACGAGTCCAACAATTGTTTCCTCTCGTTTTACTTATATTCCTCATAGTAAATGTTGTTGTTCCCCGTGGCCCAGTCCCTGCGCGGCTCGCGCACGGTGCTGCTGACGACGGACTGTGTCATAGTAAATGTTGTTGTTCCCCGTGGCCCAGTCCCTGCGCGGCTCGCGCACGGTGCTGCTGACGACGGACTGTGTCATAGTAAATGTTGTTGTTCCCCGTGGCCCAGTCCCTGCGCGGCTCGCGCACGGTGCTGCTGACGACGCACTTCATGGAGGAGGCGGACGCGCTGGGCGACCGCGTGGCGGCGCTGCACGCCGGGGCCCTGCGCTGCCACGCCACCACCATGCATCTCAAGCGGGCCGTCGGTACGTTGCGTTCATTCATTTCACACTACTTCTTTCAGTTTCATTAATGTTTGAGCAATTTTGTTTCTTGACTTAATTTGTTTTAGTTAAGTTATTTACTTGTAAGTTACACCCGAATACTCTAAAGTCTAGCATAGATTATGAATGATGAATAGTCAAGACATTGATTTCACGCAACAAAATACTATGACTTTACCTCTATGAGTTGTAGTACAAACTAAGAAACAAATGTTTGACAGCTATGTCTGTCTATGTACACATCGACCTAACTTTAACCTAACCTTGGGTAGTTTCCAGGGTATCTAAATTAAAAATCCAATTAGTCCGTCCGTTAGATAATGAAAAAATGTTAGACACGTATTTATTTATTTTCTCGTATTAAACTGTCAAACACCAAGCGGTCACCGGTGACCGCGACCTATTGTTCTTTAATTGTGTCTATAAAACCGGTACTCGACGAGTTAAATTGCAATACTTAGATAAAATAGCGCTAACTTTAGGAATGGGAGGTCGTTACGTCATAACGTGCTACAAAATGTGACACGCTGTGACGTCACACGATATTTAAAATTAATATATCGTCGAAAGTATTTAACTTTGTGAGAAAAGAAAAATACTTGTCTAAACCTTGTTTTAAATTAATGTACCAGACGGACATTAAAATAAATTTAAGGCTCTACCCTTATTCCCTTATTCTCTACTCTTATTATAATGTGACCACTTTATACCTTGTTCGGGCAAATAAATTAATTTTAATTTTGTTTTTTTATCTTCTAGGTACCGGCTACCGGTTATCCTTCACGACGATTGGTTCGCCTAAAGAGCAAGCGATCACGAAAGTAGTGACGTCACAAGTGGCGGACTCTACTCTTAAGGAGATGACCATAAACTCACTCTCTTACAACCTGCCGGCTGCTAACGTGAAGAAGTTCCCTCAGCTGTTCTCAGCGTTAGAAGAGAAGCGATCAGAACTGGGCATCGATTCCATCGGTGTTGGCGTCTCTACTCTTGAAGAAGTGTTTCTGAAGTAAGTAGCTAATGGCTTAGTACGAGTTTCTTTTACGTTTACAAATCGAAACGAGTACGTTTCATCATCAACAGCCTATAAATGCCCACTGCAGAGCAAAGCCTCTTCTCACACGGAGAAGGTTTGAGCATTAATCACCACGCTTGCTCAATGCGGGTTGGCGATTTCAAACTTGTAATTAGAAATTATAAGCCCAGGTTTCCTCACGATGTTTTTCCTTCACCGTTTGTCAGTGGTGTCTAAATAATCTTAGAAAGTACATATAACTCGGAAAAAGTCACATTGGTACTTGCCGTTACGAATACGTTTACGAATGCGATAATTATGCGTGCTTGGCGCTCTAATTGGTTGGTTCTCTGGAGCTGGCCAATCAGAGCGCCGTACGCGCTCGACACTATTACGTTACGAATGCGATAGAGCGCCGAGGACTTAGTACGAGTTTCTTTTTCGTTTAAAGTAATCGAAACGAGACGGCGTTCTGTGCTCTAATTGGTTGGTTCATTAGAGCCGGCCAATCACAGCGCCGAACGCGTACTCGTTACGATTACTTTAATAATAATTATTTATTTATTTATTCAGATAATACAATCCATATGGTTAGTAAAGACATCTACAACTTATAAACTAGTATTAGTACATCAAACCTCATCATATAAAATAAAAATAAAATAAACGTAAAACAAACGTACTAAGGCCTCTGTTTGTATTGCCTCGTTGGTCAAGTAGCCCCACGTGTGTCTACTGGATAAAGGGGTCTCGGGTTCGATTCCCGGGTCGGGCATATTACTACTGAGACTTTACCTGTTTTTCTAAATTTCCCTTTAGTAGCATGTTGTCTGGAATTGTGCTCGGTATATGGGCAATAGGCTCAGCCCTATTACATGGGACTCATAACATAAGTAACATAACGGGTGAAGAGTGTCTGAAGTTCAATTCCGGGACAGTATTATACAATAGTTGTATCACTAGGGATGACTGATTAGATCTCGTTTCTCGTGTAGGTTGTGCAGCGATGTGGACAATACGATGTCTGAAGATGAAGTGGATGGCCACGGTGGTCCAGGTAATTATATATTAGTCTTTTTTATTTTTCTTTCTCTTTCCTGGAGGTAATAGGTTTTATCATTTCTCCCTCATGGAGACCCATTCCTCCCTCCCATCATTCCTAATCTTGGGGATTGTACTCTCAATCCTCAAATACCTAACCCCCAATAGGCCGGCAATGGGCTTTTTTTCATAGGAAAACTAGCAGACGGATCACCTGATGGTAAGCAATCGGCGCCGCCTATGGACACCTGGAACAACAGAGGCGTTACAAGTGCGTTACCGGCCTTTTGGAAATTAGGTATTAGGAGTTTGAAGATCGTTGGGGATTCAGGAATTGGGGAGTTTGGGGAAGGGGTCGGTAATTGGGCCTCCGGTAACCTCACTCACACGATGAAACACAACGCAAGCGTTGCTTCACGTCGGTTTTCTATGAGGCCGTGGTATCACTCCGGTCGAGCCGGCCCATTCGTGCCGAAGCATGGGTCTCCCACACTTCATTGAAAAATTTTATCCCAGCCGTCGGCTAGTTTTTAATGTAAGATCATTGTTTTTCTTTCATCAGATATGTCCGAGGAGCGTCTGACAGGCGTGCTCCTGTACATGCGACAACTGAAGGTTTTGTTGATACGACAAGTCAAGTATGCCATACACAAGAAGTGGTCATTTTTATCACTGGTGAGTACTACATCATTATTGAAATAAAATAGTATTGACTGCCTTAGTTGGCCGAGTGGTCGCAATTGCGACTCGGGCAAATTATTACTGGATTTGTAAAAAATTCTCAGTAGTAGCACGGAGCCTGGAACTGTGCCCGGTATATGGCAATAGGCTCACCTCCTATTACATGGGACTCATAACATACATCCGCCAGAGGGCGCTGTAACATAAACACTGTGGATTTTTATATGAGTTTTTGTTTATTTCTTTAAAAATAGTTTAATCGTTTTAAATTCATAAACTGTGTAATGATTGTGAAGTCTACCGTGTGGAAATCCTGTGACAATGTTATCAGTAGTGTTACTTAACTATTAAATAAATTTTCGTACGTAAAATGAAACAAAGTGAAGAAGATATTTAAGTGCTTAAAAGGACTACGTAGTGTGAAAAAACTTAATCAAAATACTAAAAAGTTGTTAACTATACTTAAGACTATGTAAATATGTGGAAAAATCCTTTAAATAGAATGTTATGTGAAAAATTTCAAACGGCTGTTTTTTAAATATCGGCTCAGCAATACGTCATGTTAATACAAAACGAAATAAAATAGAAACAGACCCTTAATTTCACAAGTTAACAGACAGCACGTTCGGCCGATGTGAATGTGCATTAGACTGGCGATACCGTGCGCTCCGGTTCGCGCCCCACTAAATGAAATTCTTTTTGGCGCATGTGTTCTTGATTTCTAACATTGAATAAATATTATCTAGCAATGATGAGCTTCTTTGAAAACATTACACTGCGACGAAGGCGAACAAATTCCGACTCGAACTTAATAAATAGTAGCCAGTTTTCGACGAGTACCCACAACGACGATAATAGCATGGGAAGTATGCCTGACCTATCCGTTGACGCCGATAATGAACAAATTACACAATTAAAACAACGAATTCAAAACCTTGAGCAGGAACTTAAAAGTGCCCACTTAGAAATTGAATCATTATCTTTAGAAAATAGTAGTCTCAAACAAACTAATGATGAACTACTAAGAAAGAATAAGTTTTACAATACAATATCATGCAGTCCCAGAAAGAAAAATACTCCAAATAAACCTGTCCAAACTAAAACAAAAAAGGGAAAAATGAAAAGTGCCAATACACAAACCACAATGTATCCAATGTCACCAGTTCTAACCGAAAGTTGTGATGACGCAAACTCAAAGCACACAGCCACTGATCATCTACGTAAGACCTATCCCGTAACACAAACGCAAAACAAGCTCACCAAGAAATTAAATACAATACATATAGTGAGCAGTAATAAGAAAAATAAAATATTAACTATAGCCGAAAATACCTTCCCTGACAAATATAAATTATGTCACTACTTGTTACCAAACTCTAATACTGAACAACTAATAAAAAACATTGAAATTAAATTACATGGAATGACAATGAACGACTTCTGTGTATTAATGATAGGCGAAGAAGATTTTAATACAACTAAAGATTACATTTATATTATATCAAAATTGAAACAGACTTTACAAAGACAGAAATTCACAAACATAATTATATGCGCACCGACATACAAATGCGGCTCGCATATAGGTAGTATGTATAACTGGCGAGTACAGAACTTCAATAATAAATTGTACTTGGACGTACTGCAGTACGAGTATGCATACTTCCTGGACACCAACAAAAATCTTCGATGGGATGAAATGTTTCACAAAACTAATGGAACAGTTAACAATTATGGTATGTCAATCATATTTAAAGACATTATTGACTTCATAACAGGAATATCGGAAGAATTGACAGCATCTTCGAATGATCAATGCTCAAACAACCAAGAGAGTCAAGGTGTGATCGATTGCACATTTTTTCGTGAATAACTATATAAATGTAATGCACCAAAATATTGCCGGATTACTATCAAAAGCTGATAGCTTGTCTGTATGCCTACAAGAACTGAAAGAGCGAAATACGAAAGTGGACGTCCTTTGCTTGACTGAGCACTTTGTTGTGGAGGACCACGTTAATCATATCGACGTCCCTAACTACTACCTAGCTGCATGTTATAGTCGCAAAGAAAGTAAGAGAGGTGGTGCATGCATACTCGTAGAAAAGAGACACCAATGCAAGGAAATAACAAAAGTGTCACAGATATCCACAACCGGTGTATTTGAATGTTGTGCTGTGGAACTAATCAATCATAATACCGTCATAGTGTGTGTATACAGGGTGCCAAAGTTAAATAACTTTAACGTTTGTATGGAAAAATTAGAGACATTAGTGAATATCTTTTATAAAAAATCTTTTAAACATGTGATTATTGCAGGTGATTTTAATATTAATGTACTTGCGAAAAACAAGCAAACTATTGATTTTGAATGCCTATTACTGAATTATAACTTAACTTTAGCGTTAAAACAGCCGACTCGTCTGAAGAGTCAGACTTGTATTGATAATTTCGCCCATAACTTAAAGTCTTGTAGGGCTTCAGTATTGGAGCTTGCACTGTCTGATCATACGGCGCAAATCCTTAAATGTCCAGTGGATGTAGCTTGTTCTATTGATCGATGGCGTACAATTAAAAAAACTATAGTGCAGATAATTTAAAAAAGTTTAAGTCCTATATTAAAAGTCTACACTTCACAGATATTTATCAATCCAATGACCCCAATGAAGCATACAATACCTTCAGTGAAATATTTTCGTTCTTTTATAATCAATGTTTTCCTGAGTCTTTGGTATCAATAAATGTACATAAAAAACAGAAATGGATATCACGTGGGATAAAGCTTTGTAGTAAAAAGAAACGAACACTGCTGTGGAAGTACCGAGTAAAACCGACCATTCAGAATAGAAACGAGTTAAAAAAATATTCTAAGCTGTTCAGAACAATTGTTAATAAGACAAAATTTGCACAAAATACTTATAAAATAAAAACATCATTGAACAAAACAAAAACTTCCTGGCAAATAATTAATAGTACAAAATTCAATATACCTAAACATAACATAAACAAAATCCGTCTTGAACATAAATGCATAACAAATCCTAGCGAAATAAGTAACTTATTTAATAACTATTTTGTTGATAAAATCCAACCATCCCACTTGCATTGCACTGGAATTTGTAAATATATTACAAGTAAAAAGGACTCAATGTTTATGGCTCCGAGTGTGCCACAAGACATAGTAAAAATTATTAAATCTTTGAAAAATACTAACAGCGTAGGATGCGATGGTTTTAATACTAAGATTATTAAAGAAGTATCATACGAAGTATGCCAACCTTTAAGTCATATAATAAACCTAAGCATTAGTAAAGGTATATTTCCAGCCGCCTTAAAGAAATCTATAATAAAGCCATTATTTAAAAAACAAAATAGGGAACTAATGGAAAATTATAGACCAATTTCGCTGATACCAATTATTTCTAAAATATTTGAAAAATACATATACAAAGAGTTAAATACATATTTTGAAAAACATAAGTTATTTTGTGACGAACAAAAAGGTTTCAGGGCAAATAAAAGTATAAACATGGCGATCTATGACTTTCTTTATAAAGTGATGGTCAATGTAGATAAAAAAAATCCAGTATGTTCGATTTTCTGTGATATGACCCAAGCCTTTGACTATGTGCATCATAATACTCTACTAAAAAAAATGGAAAATTATGGGGTACGAGGAAATATACAAAATCTTTTAAAATCTTATTTATCAAATAGAAGGCAAGTTACAGAAATCAGTAGACTCAATAGTAAAACTAAACGAGAGGAAATATATACATCACATGAACGTCAAGTGACATATGGCGTTCCACAGGGAAGTGTTTTAGGCCCCCTTTTATTTACGATATATATAAATGACTTTCCGAAAAGTATAGAACATACCATGTCACTTTTCGCGGATGATAGCACTATAACCATACCATGTAGAATAAGAGAAGAATACAACAATGACATAAATAGTAGTTTAATTAATGCCATAGACTGGTTAAACAATAATAACCTAAAAATTAATCTGAGTAAAACTGTTATCATGCACTATAGTACAAGACCGAATGCATCAATTAGTTCGGACATTACATATAGAAATAATACTATTGAATCAGTAACATCAACAAAATTTTTGGGTTTAACAATAGACCAAAATCTGAACTGGAAAGCTCATATAGAAAAACTTGCGAAACAATTAAGTAATAGAGCATATGCTTTACACAGATTGTCTCAAACAATACATATAAACACGTTATTAATTGCGTACTACGGATTAGCTGAATCTATTCTCCGTTACGGGATCATTTTTTGGGGCAATTCAGTGGAATGGGCAACCATTTTTAGGGCACAGAAAAGATGTCTGAGATCAATGTTTACACTTAAAGTTACTGATAGTTGCAGGCCATACTTTGAACAGTATAGGATTCTCACAATGCCATCGTTATACATTCTCGAAATAGTTTTATTTGTTATGTATAATTCTCATTTATTTCCGCGTCTTGAGGATAAAACTCAGCGCAACAGGCGTGATTACACAAAACTTTGTCTTCATCCTTGTAAGACCGCGCTTATGCGCAGAAATGTATTTTGCATGGCTCCTATAATATTTAACAAATTGCCAAAATCATGGAGAGAACTAGGTGCCAACCATATCAAGCGAAAGCTTAGACTTTTTTTTTATTACAGAAGGTCTACTATAGTGTCACCGAATTCTTAAATGACACAGTTATTTGATTGAAGTAAGACATGGCTATTATTTTATAAATTATGATTATTTTATTGGTTGTGATTGTTTCATTAGTTATGTGATTCTTGCTATGAGTGTGACATATTGTACGAATTTAATTATGACATAACTGTATCTATAATTTTAATTTTGACATACCTACCTACATACAATTTTGTTTGACATTTATAAATATTTAACGCTGATAATATGATTATTACTTACAAAAAAATTTGCATGCCATGACAAGTGGTAAACATGTATTAAGTGCAACTGTTCTATTTTTTATCATCCTACATACATGCACCTGCGTGTGTGTGTATGTATACACATGTTTTTGCGAATAAATTTGATTTGATTTGATTTGATTTGATTTGATTTGATTTGAACATAAATAGTGAAAAGGGGGTGTTACATTGTACAGTGGTATAATGTGCACCTCTGCCTACCCCTTCGAGGATAAAAGGCGTGATGTTATGTTATGTATGTAAAATAGTATTAATTGTCATTTCAACCGACTTCAAAAAAGAAGGAAGTTGTCTACATGATCTGTATGTATAGTTGTCCGCGATTATCTCGATTGGCTAACCGATTTCGATGCGGTTTTCAAAAAAGTGTTGCTACGCTTAAGAATGGGTTGTAGTATATTAACCAACTTTTATAATAACTATCGTGAGACATACTAAATTAAGTAAAAGCACGGGTTACTCACGTGAATACACTGAGAACAGCGCTATTACTTTCGAACCACAGAGGGGTTCTTCCTCATGAACAGCGTGCGCGGTCGCAGCGACGTCACGCAGCTCACTGACCAACTTCATAAAAAGAGGTTGAAGTCGATTTTTAACCGTAGTTTATGGGAGTTATTGAACAAGTAGATTGATGATACAATTTTGCAGCATGAGCATCCGGGAGTCGAACAAGAGACGTGTTCTAACTAAAAACTTTATTCAAGTGTCTTGTTACAAATATAATAACGCTATTATTGGGGCGGGTTTGACACAAACTACACATTATATTTCTATTGTTTTTTTTCCTACTTCTTTAATAAGTATTCTCTTTTAACGCATGTCCCCAGCAACTGATATTTCCTGTCCTAACGATTGTCGCGATGACGCATTTTACGAACAACTCGGAGTTACAAGAAAATTCGGAGGGATTACTCCGTCTGAACCTGGACCTGTACAGTGACCGGCCCGGCCACCGCGTGCTACTGAACCTGCGGGGTGCCGGCGTCGACACCAAGTCCTTCACTAAACACTTCCCACAACTCCAGTTTGAAGAAACCACTGACGTAGCTGATGGTAAGCATCGATATACCATAACTAGCTTCTGCCCATGCCTTCGCTCGGATATAAAGTAACCGTAATCTACCCCAGTTCCAAATTTCATCCCGATCCCTTCATCCATTTTGACATGATTGAGTTAAAAACATACATACAATCTCACAAACTTTTGCATTTATTATATTAGTAAGATATCTGGCTTTCCGTATTTGATCCAGATTAAATGACGTCACACTGTCTATTGAACTGGGTGACGGAAGCGTTAACAGTTTTATTTTAAACAATGTCTGCGACCAACTAAATAGCACGAACCAGTAACGAGACCATAGCGCGGTCTATTTACTTTCGAAAACGCGATCTTATTGCCTTAGGTACTCGTAATTCTTGAGTCCGTTATATTCAGAATTTTAAAATCAAAAATAAATAACCACCTTAGATTAGTATTTGATACTACTAACACTGATCTAAAATATTCGAGAAAGGCTCCACTACGTTCAAAGGAATACTATTCAGAAACCTTAGTACGAGTATATGTTTTACGTTTAAAGTAATCGAAACGAGATTGCGTTCGCCGCTGTGATTGGTTGGTTTATTGGTGCCAACCAATCAGAGCGCCGAACGCATACTCGTGACGAAAGAAAAACTTTATTTCCCACGCTAAAACAGGTGACACATACAGATTTTACACATAAGTTTATAAATATATACTAATGTCCCAAGTCTGCGGTGAAATGAGACCAGTTCAGCATGTGCATGTGTGTTCTACTGGCCCCTTAAGTGACTCACAGACGAACAAGCCACCAATCAGACAACAATAAGCATTTAGCAATAAATATATTAATTTGTATTTGAAATTAATTACTAAACACGTACAATTAATTAATTATTACACACACTCACACTAAACAAATTCGTACTAAGGCTTCTGAATGCCTAATACGATCTTGTTTTACGTTTAACGTAATCGAAACATTACCCTCTGATTGGTTGGTTCTTTGAAGTAGGCCCATTAGAGCGCTGAACGTCATAGACGTGTCGACCACGTTAACCGTAAAACAAATTAATACTAAGTCCTCTAATACATTCATGTCTGTGTCTACAGCGGTGCTTAAGACTGGGGAGAGAGACATCTTGGAGTACAACAAGTACATGGTCGGAATCGAACTGAATGACACGAATGCCAAGGTATGATGTAATACATGTTTGTGATTTTTTTTATGACATAAGCCTGTATGTAAACGACCAGACGGATCACCTGATGGTAAGCTATCGGCGTCGCCCATTGGCACCTGGAACACCAGAGGCGTTACAAGTGCTTTACCGACCTGTTGGGGATTAGGAGTTTGAGGATCGTTGGGGATTCAGGCATTGGGGAGATTGGAGAAGGGAAGGGTAATTGGGCCTCCGGTAACCTCACTCACACGACGAAACACAGCGCAAGCGTTGCTTCACGTCGGTTTTCTCTGAGGCCGTGGTATCACTCCGGTCGAGTCGGTCCATTCGACCCGAAGCATGGCTCTCCCACACTTAAGATTATATTTTACTAATGTAATTAAGGTTTTGACTGTCAATAGAAAACTGTTGAAGGCAAATCCTCCGCTAACGACGGTCACCGGTGGCGTTTAATGTGTTAAATTTCAATATTTTTTACGCTATATAATGTTTTTTGCGCATGAACATCAGTTTTGTATTAGAATGTGGCTTTGATTACACGGAGCAAGAAAAATAACTCACGTATAGTGATTTCTATGACATCCGACAATGCAAATGGTTAATTATTTTTTATTTGTAATGGCGCTAAAATATAGATATACGCAGCTTGGCAAAAAAGAATTTAGAATTTAGAATAATAGATAATTAAGGTCGCTAGTATCGTACCTGTGACAACGACTCTACGACTACACTAGTTTTGATATTTATTATTTTTATCGAGTTTAAAAGAAAAGGTACTAATACTGTGTTCGAATGTTTATTCATACCTTATATGGCAATATGATTCGAAGTGGGTGATTCAGTCCAATCAACTTTTTTGCCAAGCTGTACCTAAGCGTCACTTTCCTAGACTAGACAAGACCATACAAAGTGTTACCCCCACTGTCCCTGGCGCGCCAGATCCTGTACACGACGACAGTCCGTCACGCGGCGCCGGTGGCGCTGAACGTGCTCAGCAACGTGCTGGCGGCGCGCCTGCTGCCGTGGGCCGACGGACGGACCATCTGCACCGTCAACCAGCCCGTGCCCAGCGACCTCAACCTCGACGACGACGTCGGCATGCCCAAGAACATGGTCACTCTCATCACGTGGGGCATGTGTATCACATTCAGTTAGTATACTCTTTTGTGTATTTTACTTCTTTTATTGAATCAGCAGACGGATCAGATGCAAAGTCAAAGTCAAAGCATTTATTTCAATTAAACCATAGTTTGGTACTTTTGAAACGTCAACAAATACAAAATAAATAATAATCTGTCAGTCAGTCCGTCAGTGAAACTAGGTGAAGCTAGGTGCTCATTCCAAAATGTAGATTCGAATGGAGAGAAACAAGGAAGAAACTCCAATCGTTACTCTTTTTAAAAAAAAGTATGTTCTACAATGTATTTGATACATATTTCAATACTGTACGCATATTTAAGAACAATGCAAAGACACGCTTGACGCATTATACTAATAACTTATTCAAATAAAAAAAATAAAAAATCTTAAAGTCTAACATAATGCTCACATATGCATACTGACAATCCATAGAAATAGTGCTTCTATACAAGAAAAAGGAAACTCTGTTTCAATAAAGAAAGAAATGCTCGATGCCATGAGGAAACTAGATTGTCTACATTAGAATTAAAGTATAAATTACCTACTATTGGAATTTATCAGATGATAGTAAACTATCAATGCTGTGGGTATTCAGCCCGCACGGAGCCACACTAGACAAGTGCGTTCAAGAAAGAGAAAGAGTATTTTTTTGAATGTTTGAAAATCTTCACTCTCTAGTTTTGCTGTGACACGCAGAAAATGTTGAGAAACAGTTCACAGTAGTCGAGGAAAGCCAATAAGTCTGTTTAGAGTGCTTCACGCATAGCCCAGCGCGTCCTCGATGACACTAGGGGTGGCCGGAACATTTTCGTATGATCCTATGGCGACTGGCAGCCTCCGTTCAACCCTTATGATCACCTTTCCCAGGCGCAGGACACATCGCGCCAGCTTGTCTTTGCAACTAATGCCGGAATACTGAAACGTTACTCAATTCTAAGTCGTGCTTAAATATCGTGCCATCTCTGTCATTTTACAAAGAATTTGTAGAGATAGAACTATACTTAAGCACGACTTAAAATTGAGTAGCGTTTGAGTATTCCGACCTAAGTCTCACGGACGATGTTTGTTTGCAAAGTACATATTATTTTTTTATTGTTGTAATTGATTGTTAAATTAGTATATCATCATTATTCATGTTTTCCCTCAATACATATACTTCTCTGTTTTAATAAAACTTAAGCCTAGTGCTCACCACAATTTGTACGCCTCCGGGTATAGCATAGCGCTCTTTTTTATTACCATATATAAGACCTATATCTGTATGCACCTATGTTAACAAATAAAAGTGATTTGATTTGATTTGATTTGCAGTAATCCTAGCGACGAACATCAACAGTATCTCCCTGCCGTGCAAGGAGCGGTCGTCGGGCGCGCGCCACATCCACGTGATGTGTGGCTGCCCCGCCGAGCTGCACTGGGGCGCCACGCTGGCCGCGCACTGCGCCACCGCGCTGGCCACGCTGGTGCTGCCCGCCTGCCTCGCCGCGCTCCTGCTCGACCAGGACCAGACCATCAACCAGCATGACTTCCTAGGTAACTTACTTCAAAACAGGACTATTTTTTTAAGAAGGGATCCGTAGGGCTCTTACAGACTCTGATAAAGCGTATATTGAAATTCTTTCTCTAAATAGTTTTTCTGGAATAGATAGCAAGCAGACAGATCAACCTGATGGTAAGCGATCGACGACACCTATGGACATCGAATCGAATTACGAAGCGAGGGTTGTATTATCGACAACCTCATCCACATGAGGAACACCAGCGTTGTTTCACGCCGATTTTCTTTTTTTATGTAAAAAGCCGGTAAATAAACAGACGGATCAGCTGATGGTAAGCAATCGACGTCTCCCAGATACAACGGGAATACCAGACGCGTTACAAGTGCGTACCGGCCTTTTGGGATTAGGAATTTGCGAATGGTTGGGGATTCGAGCCGACCGATTCCTCACTTTATTTGTTATTTGTATGTGTACAGCGACTCTGGCGTTCATCCTGATGCTGTGCAGCATGGCGTTCTTCGCGTTCATGTACATCGTCAGCTTCAACTTCGGGGAGCGGTCCAGCAGTCTCATACTCGTCATCTGCATAATTTTGTTCGGTCTGTCACCATTCTCTTACATAATTAAATAGAACTAATATCAAAATTAATACTAATAAATATATTGATGGGCTCATTAGATATTATAAATGTTCATTTCTCCCGATATCGAGGACATGTGGTTAAAACGGATCACCTGATGGTAAGCAATCGGACGCCCATGGACACCTGGAACACCAGAGGCGTTACAAGTGCGTTACCGGCCTTTTGGAGATAAGGAGTTTGAGGATCGTTGGGGATTCAGGGATTGGGAATATTGGGGAATGGATGGGTAATTGGGCCTCCGGTAACCTCACTCACACGACGAAACATAACGCAAGCGTTGTTTCACGCCGGTTTTCTGTAAGGCCGTGGTATCACTCCTGTCGAGCCGGCCCATTCGTGCCGCAGCATGGCTCTCCCACACTTTCAACTAATTATAATTATATAATTTATATAAATGGTGCACAGTAAAGAATGTTCAATCTATCGCAGGTTTACTGACACCCTTCATGGAGGCGGCACAAAAACTCTTCTTAAACTCCCCTCGCGGACTGATACACATGGCCCTGGCTACGTGTGGGTATGTGATGCCCCCCCACACCGGTGTGACGGCAGTGCTGCAGGCGCTCAATGTCGGACACCTCAACGCCATGTGTCATTATATACGCGCCAAGAAATTCTGCCCAGGAGCATACGCCAACGAAAACGGATTCGATGTAGAAAAGTGCTGCGGTAAATATACAATTTTAATGCTATATTGTAAATTTTTGATATTATTATAAGTTACTTGGACGAATGAAGTAGTTTCCTTAATCAAAAATAAATTATTTCGACTATTAAATACAGTAAAATATTAAAAAATAATCACACTTTCATTAATTGATTTTATGAGTAACTTAATTTTAATAAATAAGTATGCTATGTTTTTATAACAACTATCATGAGACATACTAAATTAACTAAAATCGCGGGCTACTCACGTGAAAATAAGTATGCTGTTAGACGCTAAAAAAACGTGACGTCACAATACACAATCTCGTACAAAATGCATTTCTGTCGTTTTTGACAGTTCGAAAAAAGTATTGAATTTGACTAGTTGGCAAGTACCCAATTGGATCGACGCAATAACAACCATTTTAACAGAATAGAATCTTCTGTTTCATTTCGATGCAGGATCTAAGATAATTATCATGTCCCTAAAGCGCCAGATTTCAGTATGTACGTTTGCGTGGTTGTATCTACTGTAGATCCTGAAGTACAAGAGTTGCAGCGGTTTTGGGAGGTTTTGGCGGGTTTATACCACCCGATCGGTATTAATTTGGCTGCTAGAAATAGAACTTTGACACGTTTTGTACGTAGTTTTTGACAAAATCTTATCACTAGTGGTCAATTTGGTGTTTTATAGAACTCCAAAAAAGGTAGAGGTTCTCAATTCGACTCATTTTTAGCTAATTAAATTGTAAAGTATTATAAGAATATCCTATGGTTCTTATTGCAGCCGGCGAGAACCCGCGCTGCTATTTCTGCATAGACGACTTCTCTCCCGGCTACAACATGATCGTACTCTTTCTGCAATTCACAGTCCTCATGGTAACTATTACTTTCATCTATTAACATGTATTTCAGACTGCACGGTTTGCGCAGTAACTGGTTTGCTCACTAGATGGCGTCACTGATATCCTCCAATAGGGAATTATTTAGTGTGACACTATTGGACGTTCAATATTTGACAGCTTCTGTGATTGGACAAAAAAAAACACATTTTCATTTGCGCCGTCTAGTCTCAAAGTGTAACGGATTCGATTCCCGCATGGATAAATGTTCTTGCGTAACGTTCGACGCCGCGTACCACCCTCCAATCACCATCTAATCCCCAAAAGGCGGGAAAACCACTTGTAACTCCCCTTGTGTTTCAAGTGTCCATAGGCTATCGATTGCTTACTATGAAGTGATCCGTCTACTCGTTTACTACTATGAATATAATATCATTGTTTTTACACAACAGGCGATGGTATTCCTAACGGAGCGCGGTTTCTTCAACGGCTTGGTAAACAAACTGGCCAACCTCCGCTACCGGCCCACTACGGACGCACACGCGGATGAAATGGTACGCGCTGAGAAAGCGTACGTCAGTCGAGCCATCACTCTACGTATGTATTGTTATTAACTTTATTTTAAAATCGTTAGGGTTGTTTTTAGAATGCTCATATAGGAATAGTACAACGATTCCTAACTGTATTTTAATTCTGTTAAAGTTCTTTATAGAATGCTACGGAACTCCGCGGTCATCGTATTTTGTACTCTATTCCTCAATTAAAGAGTTTTCAACTCTATTGTAATAGCTTTAAAGTTACTTTCATTAATTAAAATGTTAAAAAATAGACTTCAATACGAAAGATATGAGAACGAAACTTGTGTCTAAACCAACCTAAACATCAATTTTTGTAAAGAAAAATAAACATTATCACAATAGCAATAAAGTCTAAAATAATTTATTCATTTCCAGCATCAAAACAGATCCCGGACGCGATGTTAGTAAATGACATCCACAAGAACTACGTGTCGATACTGAAGAAGAGTGTCAACGCTGTCAAGGGAGTCAGTTTCAGCGTCAAAAAAGGTGAAATTTTTAATATAATGTACTTAGTTTTACTGGCTCTAGTTATTTTGTAAAGCGGCAAATGACCAGACATATCACTTGATGGCCGCAATCAGCATCGCCCATCGATCCACGCAACGCTAGTGAACACTTCACCTCAACAACCTATAAGTGGCCACAACTGACCAAAAGCCTCTTCTCACACGGAGAAGGTTTGAGCATTAACCACCATGCTTGATCACCGCGTGTTGGCGATTTCAAACTTATAATTAGAGATTATAAGCCCAGGTTTCCTCACGATGTTTTCCTTCGCCGTCTGTCAGTGGTGTCTGAATAATCTTAGAAAGTACATATAACTCGGAAAAGTCTCATTGGTACTTGCCGTTAGTAAGTTTCGAACCCGCGCCGTGCCCTCATGCATGAGAAGCTTGACCTCTTATCTGTCGGCAGCAGAAGTTTAACCGACTGTTTTTAGCGTGAAATAAAGTTTTTTCTTTCTTTCTTATTTGGCGTCAATTTAACTCGCGATTAAAAGTCATAGCACGCGCTTAGACTAACCATGATTCCTGTATGTAGGTGAATGCTTCGGTCTGCTGGGTGTGAATGGAGCGGGCAAGTCCAGTACATTCAAGATGCTCACTGCGGAGGAGAGTGCCACCAGGGGCGATATCTTCGGGAACGGGTACAGACTCACGCGGGGGAACCCACAGGTTGGTCACTTCTTACTGCTCCATACATACTGCGGGAATATATTCATGTTGCAATAAATACCTAATTTAAAATTTTGTGGCCATTAAGTTATATCATTATCATATGAGCTTATGGCACCGACTTCTAACCTATCAGTGGGTGGGTAATCTATCAGTACAATAGTTATTTGCATTATAGTTTTTACTTTTTATTTGTTATTATAGTTTTTGGTTTTTCGAAGTAGTTTTTTTTTTCAAAATAAAATAAAGTCTTCTATCAGTAAAAAAAACTATTTAACTTACTTTTCCTCTACGTGGTATATCAAATAAATATTTCTTTTTGTTTCTCTTTAGTACCTACAAACGCTGGGCTACTGCCCCCAGTTCTTCGGGCTGGACATGTTCCAGACAGGTCGCGACAACTTGAGGCTCGTGCTCACACTGCGCGGGTACGACCAGAAACATGTCCACCAGGAAGTTGAGAATTGGATACATATTGTTGGTATGTACAAAAAACACATGTTTATAATTTTTTTTGGTACTCGTTTCAGGGACACAAATTGTACCAGTACGACCGCGCAATCGACCATGCTAAACCCAAATGAGTGTCTTGGTTGACATTCGTACGACTTAAATTCAAAAAGAATTATTCAATTCGAAAAGTTCTTAAGATTGCGTTTGTAAATAAATAAATTGTTTAGCTTTACATATTGAGCATAATAAGTACTTGCTGCTTCTGTGTGATTTCAGCTATTCTACTCGGTGTCTATTAATCGTCACGTGATGTTTAATAGTTTATAGCCTTCCTTGATAAATGAATTATCAAATACAAAAATAATTATATAAATCAGGTCAGTAGTTTTGGAGATTAGCGCGTTTAAACAAACCGTTTAGTTTTATATCTATATAAATAAAAATGAATTTCCTTTTGTTAGTCTCGCTAAAAAATGAGAACGACTGAACTGATTTGGCTAATTTTAGTTTTGAAATGTTCGTGGAAGTTCAGGGAAGGTTTAAAAGGTGTGAAAAAAATTATTGGCGGTACGAAGTTTGTCGTGTCAGCTAGTCATAAGTATAAATCCTTACTAATATTATAAATCTGAAAGTGAGTTTGTTTGTTTGTTCCACTTTCACGCCGTAACTACTAAACCGATTGCTTTGAATTTTTGCGGACGTAAAGTTAGAAGTCCGGATTAAATAATAGGGTACTTTTTATCCCGGAAATATATATTCCCGAGGAAAACAAAAGTATTGGTATAGATGGCGCTGTGTGTATTGGTATATGTCACATAGGCTACTTTTTATCCTTTTGTGACGCGAGCGAAGCCGCGGGTATAAGCTAGTATAAGATAAGGTAAAGTATAAACATGGCGTGTAGGGTTGGAGAAGTACGGGCACCGCACGGTGGAGCAGTACAGCGGCGGCTGCGTGCGGCGCCTGGGCGCGGCCGCGGCGCTCTGCGGCGGCGCACAGCTGTGTCTGCTCGACGAGCCCAGCGCCGGCGTCGACGTCGCCGCGCGCCGCAGGCTGTGGCGGGCGCTGCGCCGCGGCCTGCGCCACCAGCGCGCCGTCATCATCACCTCGCACAGGTACACGGACCACTCCACCGGCAGGAGGACGAACGGGGTGCTTGTTAGTCAGTAAGAGTCTGACACTCTCTCTCGCCTCGCCCAAGAGGAAGAAGTCGATGATTTTCCCCCTTAAAAAACCCATGTCAATTATAACTCTAATAATGCAAACCCAGTTTCAAATTACGAGTATGTTTTTGTGTAACTAGGGCTTTTTGAGATAAATACATATAAATTAAAGTATTGATAATAGTCGTAATAACGAACCCGCCAGTATGGACGAGATGGAGGCGCTGTGCTCCCGCATCGCGATCCTGTCGGGCGGGCGCGTGCGCGCGCTGGGCACGGCGGCCGGCCTGCGGGCCGCGCACGCGCACGGACACGCCGTCGTCTTCAAAGTCACCAACGCACTCTCTACTGACGGTACGGACTAACTTCACTCGTGCTCAATTACATATATCTAGAAAAATTCCTTCCTACTAAATGCGAAAGTTTGTATGTTTGTTTGTTTGTTTGTTACTACTTCACGTCAAAACGACTGAAGGCATCGGGATCAAATTCGGAACAGGGGCACATTATGATCCCGAATAACACAAAGGCTACCTTCTATCCCATTTAACAATCTCATACTACCATCGTCGAGTCATAACATAACATCACGCCTTTTTATTCGAAGGAGTAGGCAGAGGTGCACATTATACCACTGTACAATGTAACACCCACTTTTCACTATTTATGTTATGAGTCCCATGTAATAGGGGGTGAGCCTATTGCCATATACCGGGCACAATTCCAGACTCCGTGCTATTACTGAGAGTATTTAAAAACCCAGTAATACTTTGCCCGACCCGGGAATCGAACCCGAGACCCCTTGCCCGGCAGTCGCACTTACGACCACTCGGCCAACGAGGCAGTCATATCATCGTCGAGTCTGTTTTAAAAATATTCCTTTGTTGTATTCATTGATTAACCTAACTCTAAGAGACGTTAGAACAGTTCACAAAAAGCATGTACTACGCTCAAAACCCAAGAACTAAGTCAAAGCATTTATTTCAATTATTTTTAATTGTTTTCTAGCTTCGCATCAACCGCTTCATTTTTCTGCACTTCCCTATGGTTGACTGTAAGAGAATGCCTTAAGGCATTAAGTCCGCCATTCACTGTTATGTTTTGTGAATAATAAATAAATAAATTAATTAAACCATAATTTGGTACTTTTGAAACGTCAACAAATATAATATAAACAATAATCTGGCAGTCTTGGGCCTAGTTCAGGTTTTACATATTTTTAGACTTTGTTTAGATATTAAGATTTATTTTGTAACCTGGCTTTTGACACCAAATAAACATTTTATTTATTTAGTCTGTCCGTCAGTGAAGCTAGGTGCTCGTTCCAAAATGTAGATTCGAATGGAGGATAACAGCTTGCTGAACCGATTCAACCAATCATTATAATTAACTAAAATCACGGGTTACCCACGTGAATATACTGAGAAAAGCTCTACTAGTTTCGAATTATTATAATGTTAGAGAGAAATACAATAGTTACATATGTTTACTTACAGAAGTGGACGGCGCTAAGCAACAGTTGGATCGACTGAAGGGGAAGCTACAGGAGACCTTCAACTGTTCACTCAAAGACGAACATAAGGTCAGTATGTCGCGCGTCACACATCACATCAACAGCCTATAAATGCCCACTGCTGAGCAAAGCGTCTTCTCACACGGAGAAGGTTTGAGCATTAATCACCACGCTTGCTCAATGCGGGTTGGCGATTACAACTTATAACTAGAAATTATAAGCCCAGGTTTCCTCACGATGTTTTCCTTCACCGTTTGTCAGTGGTGTCTGAATAATCTCAGAAAGTACATATAACTCGGAAAAAGTCACATTGGTACTTGCCTTTGGTAGGTTTTGAACCCGCACCCTCATGTATGAGAAGCGGGCGTCATAAACCTCCGGGCCACCACGACATCGCGATGTCGCGTGTCAAGTGATTGTTATTCTCAATTAGAATGTAAGAATAACATAACATCCATGAAGGGGTAGGCAGAGGTGCACATTACGGCACTTAACGCCACTGTACAATGTAACAACCACTTTACACTATTTATGTTATGAGTCCCATGTAATAAAAGGTGAGCCTATTGCCATATACTGGGTATATTTCAAAATTCCGTGCTACTACTGAGAATTTAAAAAAAAAACAGTAGTACAGTTGTCCGGCAGTTGCACTTGCGTTAAACGCTAATGTTAAAAGCGTTAAACGCTAATGTTAAAAGCGTTAAACGCTAATGTTAAAAGCGTTAAACGCTAATGTTAAAAGCGTTAAACGCTAACGTTAAAAGCGTTAAACGCTAACGTTAAAGCGTTAAACGCTAATGTTAAAAGCGTTAAACGCTAATGTTAAAAGCGTTAAACGCTAACGTTAAAAGCGTTAAACGCTAATGTTAAAAGCGTGTAATAAACGAATAACCATTTCTTTTCCCCACAGACCATGTTACACTACCATATAAACGACACGATGCGGTACAGCGAACTGTTCGCGGAGCTAGAATCTCTAAGGACAGAGTTCCCAACCCTGATCGAGGACTACTCCGTCACGGAGACAACCCTGGAGGAGGTGTTCCTCTCATTCGCGAAGGAACAACAGGCAATCAACCAGACTGTCTAAAATTGTAATTCCTAGAACAAAGGTAATTTGCTTTAGAAGAAGAATAGAGAGAGAGAACATCTTCTTCTTCTGCTTCTTTCTTTCTATACAAAAGTCTATCAGGGTCACATTAAATGTGGACCTTTGGGGAGATGTTTCCAAGTCATAAATATTTTTTCTGAAATGTTTTCTATAGATAGTAGACGAATTGTTTTTGGTGTGTCTGGTAACACAATCTTTATCTTGAATTATCGAAATGTAAATACCTACTTAAATGTTACTCAATATTAAGTCCCGCTTAAGTATAGTTCTGTCTCAACAAATTCTTTGTACAATGACAGAGACGGTACGATATTTAAGTACAATTTAAAACTGAGTAGCCTTTCAGTATTCGAGCGTTAATGAAATATAGTTTTGACTGAGGAAACATTTCATTTGTAAGTGATTTTGTTAAACAAGTTTTGTGCTTGGTACATTGAAGGCCGATTTTTCAATCATCAGTTAAACTGTCAAACACCAAGCGGTCACCGGTGACTGCAACCTATTGTTCTTTAATTGTGTCTATAAATACGGTACTCGACGAGTTAATTCTTAAGTGTAGAATAAAGTTGTCAGTTGACCGGTTTTAGTATGGAAGAATTGTTTATTTCCTAGGTTTAAAATAAATTGTTTCAACTTTTCAATGCAATAAAATTAAAAAATAATTGTACTCTCATCCATTGATTTGACAATTTACCTACTGTTGGATTTTTTCTCGCTAATTTTAAGGAAATAAGTATGCTGTTTGACGCAGAATTATGATGACGTCATAAGTAGCGATCCAATACAAAATTCATAAAAAAGTATCGTTTTTAACATTTCTTTTTTTTTAAGAGATAAGTCTTTATTTGCCTTAAACATGGTTTACAGTGGTGTTACAATTTGTTTTTAAAGTACACATGTTTAGCTGTATAGATAATGTCTATAGATTGCATGCAAAATATTTGTTAATACAATTGTCATTACGCCAATAATCATTACAATAAAATAAAAAAACAATTGAACCAAAACACATTTAAACATTTTTTAAATCAAAAAAGTCATTTATATTATAAAAATTATGTTCATTTAACCATTTATACAGTTTATTTCTGAAAATATTAATATTATTTAATAATTTTAGTTCTTCCGGAATTTTGTTGTATATGCGCACACACATCACAAGACAGCTTTTAGCATATTTCCCAGATTTAGGAGTATTGCTTAATACTTAATTAATTTCAATAAAAGTATTGAATTTGACTACCTGTCAACTACCGTATTGTCAAATATTGAAAGCTATTCTTCAGTTAAAATTGAACTGAGCATTGAAAAATTGGCCCTGAATGAAATAGAAGTTCTTTCATTATATACATCCTATAGCCTTAACCTGTATCAATTACTTTTATGACCAAATGGTCGACGACAATAATTTAACATTAAGAAACAGATGTTTAATGGTCAAATAAAATACTACTGTCGTAGCTCTGTCGGGTTATTTCAAATTAAAACCAGAAGACTGCACAATTAATAGGTTTAATTTCTACATAACAGAATCAAGACCGGCTCACACCGATACAAAGAAATGCCCGAATGCTATGGCTGGCGTGTGTCGATGAAGAAGAAGCGCGGCGCTCGCGCGGCCGTGGGTTTTTATACCCCGTCCCGCGCGTCGCCGCCTCTATGGTCGATGGCCATACTAATGCGCCAACAACTACTTTTCATGATGATACTTGAACCAATCGCATAACTTGTTTAATTAAGAAAACGACATCAATTTAATCTTGTAACAATATATTAATTTCTACGAAGACAACTAACAAAATAATGTTCAAAGACTGTAGAAAATCCGTATTTTTTCATAAATAATACAACTTCTACATTCCCGATATATAAGTGTCTAGTCATAAAATAGTATTTTTCTATGCTGGTATCTCGATCGAATTCCATCACTGTGAACAATAAGAAAAACTCAAATCTAAATAGTTTTTAATTCTGAGTCTGTATGAACTTTTTAAACGCCATGTACACACGGCTACACATCGAGCTTCACATAACCAGTATAAACTGAACGTTAAATGTGCGGAAAGATGATGCGACGCGACACCAGGATAAACTGGTTTTGTATAGATTGTTGTGTGGCCGTGTGTACTAGCGCTGAACGACCATCCATAAAGCCATTCATAAGGTGATGACCTCACAAAGGTCGAGGTGAGGTGAAAATAACAGAAAGCAAGAGACTTAACTTCAATTCTCAGGTAAAGCAAATTGTTATTTATTATAAAATATGTAATTCTGTATGTCTGTCTGTTGTTGTTTAGCAATGCCCATATAAACCCGTTAACAATAACATAGTATGTACAAAAGCTCTCTAATTAATAAATTTGGGATTTTCAATAATATTATTTACGGCTTACTTACGAGGGTGCTCGACTAATTTCAATTAATACCGGGGCTTATAATCCGAAAAGCAGCGATCTATGTCATACAGCCAGATTAAATAAAGAAATCATAAATAATTTCATAAATAGAGACATTTAAAAAAATATGATATGTAGTTCTTAATTCTATGCGTGTTTTGTTTTGAAAAAGATCTGATAAATGCTATATTTAAATAACTATAAGTAAATTGTGCACTGGACTTTGGTTGCTTGTGACCTTAGGGCTGAATAAATGTCTGAACGATTTTAATTATTTGTCAATTAACGTTTATTGCGTGTTTAATGAACAAACGGCAATTATTGATAGTAAGTCGCCATCTATCTTTATGCAAATGTCTAATTGAAAGACGTTCAGCCGTTTTTGAGTGATTGTTTACAAAACATACAAGTATTAGTGTTTATGATGACTTCGGTGTTAATAAATGTTTACAAGTGTGTAATTGTACAAAAATCCTGTTCAATCCGAAAGAATTTGAGAGAAAATCTCGAAAGTATTATATTAAAATTGTAACCATAGAATTCACTAATAAAATGTGTAAATCCTTCCATTTCTTAAATGAAATTAATTGGGTACTTTCCTTAATCAAAAATAAATTATTTCGACTGTTCGATAGAATAAAATATTAAATAATAGTCACACTTTCATTATTTGATTTTAGGACCAAGTTAATATTAATATTTTTCCAGCATTTTTTTATGTAATAAGTATGTTGTTTGACGCTAAAATAACGTGACGTCACAATACACAATCCCGTACAAAATGCATAGAAAAGTGTCGTTTTTGACAATTCGAAAAAGTATTGAATTTGACTAGTTGGCAAGTACCCAATTGTATATTGTGTCAGTATTAGACACTTAAAAATGCATTTAGAAAAAAAAATCTCTATTACTCTTGATTAAACTTTTGTTACATCCATATCTGGTGAAGGAATGTAGCACAGTTCATCAGATACTCACGAAAAGAGACCCATTTCATATTCTTTCTCAATGCATAATTTCTAGAAAAAATGTCATATTATATGTATAATATTGAAGGAAATCTTCATTATCACTGATAATACTAAATATGTTATGTACAGAGTCGTGTTATCGCTAAGGCAAAGGGGCGCTTGTCTACAGAGAGAGTAGTAATCAAAATGTGTGGGGGTGACACTGCCAGTGTCAAAATTTACGTCAATTCCATATAATTTGGTTTTCTATTCTACATGTAGACAAGCGCTAAATGGCATTTGGGTACAGCTGCTGGTTAGAGAAGAGCGCCGCGGTACGTGCGTGCCTAACTGCCCATAGAATGGCGCCGATGCTAAAAAAAATAGCGGCGCCTTTAAGTGGTTCGCAAAGGCTGCTCCCTAGGTTGAACCCGGCTCTGATTATATGTCTGTTTGTATGAAAGACAAGCTTATTACACGGATATAACAATGCACTATAGTGAGTGTGTTTCTCAATTATTACGATATTATTATTAATAAGTGAAAACCTTTGTAAATTAATATTTATTGTGTACTTAGTTATGTTTTACAGATACCTCAAATAATTATTTACGAAGTATCTCGACTAGTTTCGAGCCATGCTAGGGCTCATGGTCATGATAAAAAAATGGCGTGACTAGTCTAAACTAATCGAGTGAAATCGTCAAACAGTTACGTGTGTAATCTGTAAAACATAATTAATTTAATATGTCACAGGTATACAATGTCAGGTAGGCAGCAAGTCAACCTATCCCTTTTGTCAAATTTCTCTATTATATCTTCAACTTTATCGTATTGATATTAAGTCGAAAATCCAATGAATAAATTTGACAGTTTGTAGTAGATTGATCTGCTGGCCATTGTACCATATTATTCAATGTATCTGAACACTGAAGCCGTTGTAAATTTACGACCTACGATGTATAAAACTATACTATAAGAAAATCGATAAAAACCATGTACTGAAATACACAAACACAAATAGACCGCGATTTTTGTTTAAAAAATTCGTCTCCACGGTAATTTGTCGCCCTGTCTTGTTATGAAAGACAAACAAACAGACACACTTTCACATGTATAATATTACGACTTTTACATATTAATTTTCTTGCAGTTTCATTATAATAATATTATTACCATTTCAGTACACAGTCTTTATCGATTTTCGTGATGTACAATTTTACACATCTTGGTCTTTAAGTCGCAACACGATAATACAAATTATGTGTATTATAAAAGTAAGTGTGAATATGTATATGCTTTAGAAAATACGGTATTATCTTAAATTACCATGTATATAACCAAGCTGTATATAAAGTTAGCACGCTAGATAGAAAACGAAAGCTTTATATTCGTTAAGAAATTGGCAACTATTTTTTGGTATTAAAAAAGACAAAACTGACTGATTTACTAGTACTTATTGTAACTGGAATTAAAATTTAAATAATTTAATTTTACAATAAAATCTACAATATTGTTTGAATGCCTGTCAATGATGAAATATATTACTCATGATTGTGTAAACTTTTGCTATTAAAATGTCGACCTGAAAGAGTTCCTAAAGTAGATAACTAAAAGGTTCATTTTCGCTAAA